GCCATGTCTCAATGTAAGCAATGCAAAGATATGCGTGCATGGGCATCTTTAAGTTGGATTCTGAACCATGGACTTCAAATCAGCAATCATGTTTTGACATTTCCACAGGTGTGCTGGGTGGTTTGCGAATCAGATCTGTTTAGGCTCTTCCTCCAGTTCAAGTCCTCTACAGTTAGTGCTGTTTGCTCCATGTCCATTCTCCTAAATTGACCAGTATAGCCGACAGTGAGTGGATTCCGGTCTTGTCTCAAAATGTCAGCGTATAGGTACGCGTCTAGTTATTACTTTGGTTCACTGAATGCTGGTGTGTGGATAGTATCTTGGCCGTCACATGGGGTTTAGGAAGATTCGGCTTTACAGCATTACAGCTTTTTACGCTTCATTGGTCGTATATTCAAACATTCAGTTCATTGTCATTCTGATGTTAATATTAATTACTCTGATGAGTAAAATGTTTTGATGGCAAAATGATTGAGTGAAAAAATATTTGCTTCTAAAATTCTTCTTGTTCTATTAAAGTGCTTTACATGTGAGAGTAGAGCTAGAGGTGATCTAATTTAAAAGTAAATATTTCTTCGCTCAGTCGCTTCACCTTCTATAGTAAACTATTTTATTTTATTATTACTATTATATAAGCACTTCTCGTTACGTGTATTTTCATCAAATGCTCGTAATTGTCTCCGTAATCTGTCTCTGTCGTCATGAATTGCTAATCATACTTAGGGTAACATATGACAACCATCGTTTTGTTTCCATCTACAGCGTCCTCACATTAGCGCGAATTAGAATGAGACCATCATTGCGTCCGTCTTAAAAAAGTTTTACTCACTATATTATATTACTAATGTTACCATTTACGTCGAAACTACTAACTGTTGTCAGTGTCTTTGATAACGCTAACGGTTGTGTAGCCTCGGAGAAGTGGCTGACTGCACGGTGGCGTTGGATGAAGTGAAGTAATGGGTTAGCATCTTTTGCTGCAACATGATCCCTAGGATGGGAAGCTGTCCAATAATACTTCAAAGTAGTCTGTCACGGTGGTTAGACATTTTTGTCAGTCTTTTTACTTAAAGTTCTGTGATACCAGCGCCGTATTTACAGTGAAGCGCTGCAGCATAATTTTAGATCAGATAGCGAAGTTACACTGTAACGTAGTGCATTAATTTTTAGTAGAAGCGAGCTCAGGATGCAAACGGTATTGATTAAAGAATCAGCTCAAAACTTTGCATAGACATGAATTATTTCAGACTGAGTCGCTTCGAATTACCACAGAAAAAAGGTGACTGAAATGTAGTGATACTACATTTCTCAGACACCGAGTGTAAGAGTTTTATACTTATATCTGTAAGAGTATGACTCAGCAATTAGTGCAGATTTTTAGATAATAAAATAAACTGCTCAACTGTGAACGGTTTTGAGTCATGCCACTGTGAGACGCCATTCATTGATCCTTGGTATCCTTAAGTCCCGAGCTAAGTAACTTACACCTCCATACGTGGTTGACGTTTTTCGAAAACTGTCTCATAGTTTGATGTAATGCTTCTCTTCGATTACCTCAGATTTCTTAACAGCCTAACCCCATTTCATTTAGTATCAAAGGCAAACGTATCACCAATATCGATTGTGATTTGTCTAAATATTTCCTAGCATGCTTCCCCAGTTGTCGTTAGTAGTCGAATAAAAATAAGCGTGATCAAAAACCTCTAGTCTTTCCAGTATGAAACGACTATAGAAGAAGGAGTGATTGAAAAAGTGTATGGTGCACACGCTCATTTAAGAGTAGCCTATCATTCTTTTACCCCCAAATACCCTTCTAGTTGGGGAATGCCATATTTTATTCATGTAGTAATTCCGAAAGCCATCAGCCCATTAGGACTGTTGAATCGTCCAAAATGAATAAACGTTCAACTGTTCCACACGCAATCTGTAAAACAAGAGTCAGCCTTCAATTTAGTCATGTCTTACGCTGTTTAGGGTTACTTACAGTACTGTTAGTCTTTCTAAGTGTTGGAGGAACTATGTCGATGTTTCATTCAAACTGCGATCAGATATTAGATGACTGTAGAGTAAAACTTGCTCTCACTCTATGCTAAAGAAGTATCTGAGCTTTTCATTAATAGTTATTCTTATTGACTAACCTTACTTTTTAATCTTACCAGAATTATTTGTGACTTCAAAATTGGTTTTCTCAATTTTATAGGATAACTGGTCTCCAGCCCTTACTATCAGCAAGGTTTTACTATCCATTTGTTCGTTGCTTACTGATTGCAATCCTGCTGACCCCTTAGTTGGGTCCATTGCTAGTCAATATATGCATAACAGATCAGAACATGATCGTATTGCACGATTATGGACACAGAAATACGCGAATTCTGCCACATATCCCTCTACTGGACATACGCAGGGGATAAATGCCGATTCCGAGTCAAATAGACGAGATACGCAGTCCATACTGTTACCCGTTCCAAGGTCGTCAGATTCCGAGCATTCAGGTTGTACATCAAACAAAGATGATATTCTGACCGAAGTACCGTGTACAGAAAGTAGTAGCACAAGTGCCTGTACAAGCGTTGGAGCTAGAAGTGACGGTGGGGAAAGCGTGGATGAAGTTCTTGATGATGAAACTCCTGTACCTTCTACAGAATCATCTGTTGTTCATTCATTCACTCCTGCTTGATTTTTTTCAACCTTATTCACTTACCTGGTTCTTTCGTTTCTTCATGGTTTCTTGTTTTAATTTAATCCACTAACTGTTTGGAAATCCTTTTGTAAAGCGGAATCATGCATACTTTTTATAGTTCCTAGGAGATCCCGATATATATATATATATATATATATATATATATATCAGGATTTAGTTTTTCCTACTTGCATTCCCTTGTCGACACATATTGTTTCCGCTAATTATATAATGATTACTCAAGTTAAAGGTACTGATTAAAACCGCTTGAGTAGAACATCTGTAATTCCATATCTCAGGTTTGTTAATTTTAGGCACTTACATTTTAAAAAGTTGTAAATTTTTGTGAATCACCCTCGGAGGGATTCTATAGTGTTGATATACAAAATTTTTACCAGTTGTATAAACATGTATTTAGTGCTTGTTTCTCGAAAAATTCATGTGCCTCCGGACATATCAGCATTTCTTCGTTCGTTCTTGTCTAATATGTTGATGTTTCTTGAATTAAAATACCTTTTTAATCAAACAGTGAAATTCCTCATTTTTTGTGAAGTTGTTGTACAGCGATTGCTAACGTGCAAACGTCGTAGTCAATATAGAAAAGTTTAGTTGCGACATCTTCAGTCTAAAAAGACAGCGCATGATGGGAATACTCACAGTTGACTTTGGATTTAATTATCGATCTTAATCAAATTAAAATATGTGAGAAATCAACAGCAAGTGTGAAGACGCAAATTAAAATGTCGAGATTGGTTCACATTTTTATATGATTGGTCATAAGCTTTTGGAGGAACCTTATAGTTTAATGAACAGAAGCAGAAGTCACTGTGAAAACATTTAGGCGAATAAAGGAAATAATCGCTCTATAGTTCGGTTGCATAAATAGAAGTATCTTCGATATTATCCTACTGCTGTTGTCCATAGCCTATCGATTTGTTTAATGGAGTGCAGAACATGTCGATGAAAACTACATTGCTACTGTGGTCTGCCGTGAACGTACTTGCTGTAGATCAGAAGGTTAGTTGATGCTTACTCCCTCTGTCGTTTGACTAACTGAACCTAATATTTTCCTAACTATCTGTCTGTCTGTTTTCAACATAGAACTTTGCACATATGTGCGGCAGTTCAAGCCGCCACACTCCCTCCTTGTAGCACACAAAGCAACAAAAGAAAGTAGAAGAAATGCATAATAGAGGCAGTAAACAGAGATGTGAGACAAAGGAACAGTAGTAACGAAGAACAATATAGTTTCATTGGAAGTCATAAGTCACAAGGAGTGTTTGCATCTGCACCAGCCATTGAGAACGATTTTGAGCCATACTTACTTACTTTACTTTACTTCGGCTATCTCCTACGGGAGGATGAGCCGGCATTCATGAACGTTTCGAATCATCGCTGCCCAGGCGCGGCAATTTGTAAGAGAGTTCATGAAGTCTCATGGGAATTTGGTACGAGTGATGCCCCCAGAATCACTCGGCCTTTTGTTTGAGAGTGCAGCTCTAGCCTTTACACAACCAAGTGTGACCTACAAGGCAGTAGGAGTGGAGTAAGGAGTCCACTATCCATTGGCAGCCGATGACAGGAGTTCGGTTCATACGCCTTTTTGAATGGAGCCAGACATCCAGGACATCCAACAAGCCCTTTGTCCATACGTCTGCCGGTGAGCTCCAGTGAGCTTCATACGCCAATCGTTGGAGGTTTGGAATCAGGGTTTAGCCATCTCCCCTAGACTGTCATCCAATGGACAGTCAACCCGGTGGAGAGCGCCAGGCATCCGCTTTTGAGCCATATCACAAATTGTTTCCAACCATTGGCTTTTACCGTCCCGAGGACTCCAACTAGTCACGAAGTGTATACCTTCCTACGTGACTGGCTTAAACTAACTGTTGTAGATTTCATGGACTGATGCCATGTTTTTGTTTGACCACCGCTGGCTCTTTTCCAGCCTGACCCTATATCAGCCAGCTAACATTGCCCGTCGAGGAAGGCGATGACTAGGCATGTAACACATGTCCTAACCATCTCAGTCGATGTAACTTCACAACCTCGTCGATTGATTTCCCCTCCTTACCTTTTCCTAACAGGTTTAGGTAAACATTATAAGCATAGAAAAATAAACGTAACATTTTATTTTCAAAAAGAAAGAGATAGAAACTGATCTTTTAGAATATTATTGGTAAAAAATATGAAAATATACATCAGGGGGTTGAAGCAAGTTAACATGATAATTTATCTCATGTATATATATATATATATATATATATATATATATATATATATATATATATATATATATATAAATCACAATAGGATAAGCGATTCATCGAACCACATCAGGAGGATTTTCAAAAAACACGCCTACACGAGGTAGTAATTCATAGAACAATATATAAGCGTTATCATTCTGGAAGTAAAAAAGAAAAGCGGTTGTGAGCGATAGAGTAGTACTTCAAAGGCTTCAAAATAATAAGTAGAATTCATGCAAAAGGAGGTTACAGTCTCAACAAAAATATATACTTCCAACGCTATGCTAAGAGAGGGATTGGTAACTTTTAAAATGGCGAATAGTAAATCGCCATCTTAATTGAGGCTGATTGATTCCTAGTGTGGTGAGAGGTGGCTGCTAACCAAAAGTGGTAGACAGTATTTTACGTCAATGTGTATGTCGCCAATATTGGTTGTGACAAAATATGAACGAGGCTGGTTCAACAACCAACCACAGCAGACTTTGCGTAGGCAGACACAGTTAACATATGGATGACCTGACATTCAAGAAAGTCACAAAGAGATGCAAGGTCAACTTTCTGTGAGAAACGACCAATCAGAAGACTGTTATAGTTTGCTTGAATAAGCTATAATAATGTACATGAAAATATATAAATACGTGTTGACTTCCTTAATAAACGATCTGTTTCCTGGCCCTTGTCTTCTGTTGTTACACTAGGAGTTGTATCATGGTTGACGTGTTGTCTAACGATTCACTTGGTAGGTACTGCGCTTATATATTTTAATGCTGCACTTCGCGAAAATACCGATGCACATTTACTTGTTTCACTTACTGTTTCCAGTCAGGACAACATGAAGTAGTCGACTTTAAAGCTTCATAGCCCTATATTTCTTGTCGCTCTGTTGCGAGGGAAGCAAACTGTCAAGGTACCTAAAACAAGTGTTGGCTGCGAATTCAATGGATTCGCTTAACAGGTTACTTTTCCACTGCATATTAATTCATTTGTCAAAAGCTGAAGTTTTCTCACGTTCTTAATGTTGATGGAGTATGCTTATGTTAGATGGTTGGAGGCAATCGACAGGAAGCCCTGAACTTGGGTTTCGTGCTTGCTGACACTCGTCAGCATGGTGTACCTACAACATTGGAGGAATTATGGGAATAAGTTTGCGAAATTCTCTTCATTTTTGAAGCCTATCTTGAGTTGTTAGCCACAGCTTGAATAACAATACATTTTAGTATTCATTTGTTTGCTCTGATGAAGTACTCACTGAAACATCTCTATATTTGTCCTAAATAATGTACTGCTTGCTTCAGTGTACTGATGCGAGAAGCATATTTACCTTTTGAAATCCAGCATAATATCATTACTACTACTACTGTTCCCCAGAGATTCAAGCAATGACAGCCCACATATTGTATTACTTTCGTTGTGAGTTACATGTCAAATACTTGTGTAGTGTAAGATTCGCAGAGGAATTAAAGTTACATAGAATGATGCACGTGAGCAATACTAATTCAAAATATATGGTTACACTGTGCTCTTAATGTTAAATGATAGGAAACAAAAATCATTAGGTGGTAAATGAGGAATGCAATTTGAAGCAAATAGGAAGGCGAACGAATAGATTGCTGCAGTTCCCAAATTTTTTTATATAGCGCTCGCAGTTAATTCATATTTTAGACACATCCGAATGGGCAAAAGTTAGAATTGTGAAAGGCATTTATTTTGATTCTGCGTCCCCGTGACTAAATGGTTTAAGAGATCGAAATAGCTGTCCAGTGCTTCCTAGTTTACAATGGTTCTCTAACTGAAGTTACTTGGTGATCACGCTTGAAATTTGAAGTACAATGCAATACTGCATTGAATATCTATATCCTTTTAAATGTTTTTCACAAATTATTGAAATAACGCAGATTTTGTAGGTCAGGTGGTTGGTTATATGGTGGTGTAAGTTACCCGACAGAAATAAGTGTTTCGTTAAGGCTTCGTGTACGAAAGCTTATTCATATGGTTCATAAAAATGTTCACCTTCAGCGATTGATGTGCGTCGATGACTCGGCGGTAGAATACTCACTAACCCACCCACCCATGTTGTCTGGCGTTCTTAACATAAATAAAACACGTAGATCTGAGAAGAGTCTCTTTTCGGCGAATTTATTTTCTTAGCTGTACAATCGCATATATATATATATATAATTATTGTTATTATTATTATTATTGTATCCTATAGTTCCTAGAGGAACACAGGGCTTCAGCTGCACATCTCCATTGCCTTCTGTTTTCTGACAACTTTTTCACCCCGCTCCAGGTCTGTCCACATGCTTTCATCTCCTCTTCGCATGACGACCAACTCGCCGCCTCCCTTTCGGGTTCCACTCGAGGGCTTGTCTAGTAATGTCACTTGATCGTTTGTTTCCTTAGACTATGGCCATCCAATCCACCTCCATTTCTTCCTGCCTATTTGTTTCACAATCGGTTCCTGGTTGGTTCGCTCACTGCCAGAGATCCCTGTTGCTGATCGTTTCTCGCCAGCCATCTGATCTTGAGTATTGAGCGAAGAAAACTGTTAATGAAGGTCTGTAGTTTGTTTGAGATGCTCTTTATGACGCGCTGGTCAAGTCTCTGATCCGTATAGCGAGTAGTACTGACTTCATATTGGAGTTGAGAATCCGGATCTTATTTTTCATGCTGAGTGCTGTTGACCTCCACACAGATTTGAGAGTAATAAAAGCTTGTCTTGCTTTTCCGATTCTGGCTTTGATATCCTCGTCAGTTTCGCCTGTAGTTGAAACGATACTTCCCAGGTAGGCAAAGGAGGCTGTTTCTTTCAGGTTCCTCCCATTTATGCTGATTGTTGTCTGTTGTTGTTGTTGCTGTTGATGTTGGCTAGGAATCTTCATCACCTCTGTTTTATCTATGTTTACCTGAAGTCCTATCTTCTCTGGATGCCTCTTCTGCCAACCCGTTGCTTTTCACTTGCATATCTTCCAGTTTGTGGGAAATCAGACATATATCATCGGCGAAGTCCAGGTCCTCTAAGTCTTTTGTGTGAGTCCATTTTATGCCCGTTCCCTCGTTGGTTGCCGTTGTCTGTCGCATTATCCAATCTACTGCAATCAGGGAGATCATTGGTGTAGTAGACAGCCGTCCTCACTTCGAAGGATTCCGTGAGTTTCCCGTTGTGGATTACTTGGCATACAGCATTGTCGTATAACTGTTGGATGAGATGTATAATTGTCGATGGGACCCCGTAGTAGCGAAGTAGTTGCCAAATCACCTCTCGATCGACGCTGTCGAAGGCCTTTTCAAAGTCGATGAAGTTGAGTGAGGTGGAGAGGTGACTGCCATTCCAAGCTCTGTTCAATGATGATCCGTAGTGGGGCGATTTGATCAATACATGATTTGTTTCTCCTGAATCCGGCCTGTTCCGGTCGAAGTTTTTCATCTAGGGCTTGTTTGATTCTCTCCAGGATGATGCGACTTAGTATCTTGCTTGGAATGGACAGAAGCATAATTTCACGCCAGTTTTTACATTGACTTAAGTCTCCTTTCTTTGGAAGTTTGAATAAGTATCCGTTCTTCCAATCCTCGGGTACTTTGCCCTCTTTCCACACCTTCTCCAGCAGTGGCGTCATCAAGTTCGCTATATATATATATATATATATATATATATATATATATATATATATTATTTAGTATTTATGTGTACATTAAGTTTGTCAAACGAAAGCACAATTGGTTATGGTTATTTTAACCAAACAGGTGAAGATGGGTAATTGGAGTTACGTAATACAAAATCAGTCAAGAAAATTCGCTGTTAATGAAATTAGAGTAGTAACAAAGGCGATGAGTTGTCACAAACAGTTTTTAAAAGAAGTTACGTAATAATATGAATAGTTTGATGAGTGAGTTTTACTCAGGATACACATAGGAACAAAGTAGATAATACGAAATTACATAAGAGTTCTTTAATTGCTTAAAATTCTTGTATTCATTTGGATCTCTTACGTAATTGCGTATTCTTTACTTTTTTCCTATGTGTATCCTGAGTAAAACTCATTCATCAAACTATTTATATTATTACTTAACTTCTTTCAGCAACTGTTTGTGACAACTCATGACCTTTGTTACTACCCTAATTTCATTAACAGCGAATTTTCTTGACTGATTTTGTATTACGTAACTCCAATTACAAATCTTCACCTGTTTAGTTAAAATAATCATAACCAATTGTACTTTTGTTTGACAAACTTAATGTACACATACATACAAAATAACATATATATTTGCGATTATACAGCTGTGAAAATGAATTCTCCAGCGAAAAGGGGCTCTTCGCCGATCTACGTGTTTTGTTTTCATTAATGCCTGGATGGGGATTATCGATGAATTAAACCTCTCTTAGCCGATAACCAGCCTTGTGAAGAGGGGGAGGTGGACGTGAGGTCAGAAACCCCACCCCGTAATAAAAACAAACACCGCTGCTACTGAAACTTTAAAGCTCAAGCTTGAAGTTTTTGTGTTCCGAATGGAACGCATAGCAATACATAATATCAGTAATTGATAAAGTCGCTGCTTTAGGTATATCATATAGAATGATAATTAAACAAGTTAAATTATTGAATGAAGAAAATCACTGTACAAAGCAATTACATCCTAACTCACTTGTATTTCATTTCTATTTAGTAAGGATACATTTTCATCATCGTACTCATACCATCGACCATCACGGATATTGCGACAGTATGTTGTATCTATTTGAAATAATAAACAATTAAAAAAGTCTTGTAAAATATATAATGCTATGATCAATAATGAAAATATCACAAGGCTTATGCAAATATGATAGTTAAAACCAAAAGGTATAAGGTAATTTTAGCGTTATTGAAACCGCACACACGACATAAGTTAAGATGGAGTCATTCATTCACGTCGACACAAAAGGGTAAATGTGTAGGATTGCGCTACTTAATAAGTAAGCACAACACCGTTCCATGGATATAAGTAGGTCAGATTCGTTTAATATTATTCAGTTTTTCGCAACCACTCATTTCGTGACTGACATTTTTGTGTCATCCTGTCATTGAAAGGTTACCATAAAATAAGGTGAACTCTAGTGTTATTTTTTTTGTCGATACAAGTGTAACCAATCACCACGACTACTTACTCAGGAGTGAGTTTAATGCTCCAAACACTAATCTAAAGGGAAAACTTCACATCAAATAAAATTAGCCTCTGAAGAAATAACGAAACAAGAAGCACCATAAAGGCGGAAATACAACCAATCATTTTTCATATGATTTGCAAACACTTCCTGATTGAAACACTAATTGTCTCCGTAAAAGTTATAGGACAATTACTTGAAATTTACAGAAAGTAAAAACTATCCTCTATTCCCATTGAGACAATTTTATGCGTCGTCCTACCAGATCCATAATTCCGCTAAACGCAATTTGACCAAAAGGGGATTTCAGTCTTGAAGTATCATTTGTCATAAAGGGTGAATAAAAAAGACTGCTCTCGCTCTCACGAAGCCCTTCAGTGTTTACAAAGGTTTCTGGGGATTAAGTCAACATATTTATTTAGCTAGAGTAATTCATCTACGTAGTAGACGTCAGTTAGTTAGGTTGTGTGCATAAGTCAACACAAAATGTTGAGTGCAGTAGTACAATAATTCATGCGAACCCAAGGGTTGTTGTATGCAGTGAATTGCTATAAGCTCATGTGAGTTTGCAGATAAATGGATAACTTCCAGTAAATCCCATCCACTCAGATATCAATTAAGAATGAACGAAATTAACGAAGTTGTAGACATGACAATGTGTGCACATGGTTGAGAACCAGTCATGCCAACCTATAGTACTAGGGATTGAGTAGTGCAAGCATAGTCTACATTATACTGAGATCTGAAGTTTTGGCTTTTTCAGAGGACACATTGTTAAGATTTCCCCTTGGCTTGCGTGCTTTGCAAATAACTAACTATTTGTATTTTTAGTATTTGTCGTAATTTTTGGAAAAGCCCATTCACAGAAGAAAATCTTACATGAATTGGCAGAAGTTAGAAGTCATGGGCTGGTAATTGGATCGGGTCCCAGTGGCTTAGTGGTCTACGAGCTCGCTAGCCTTGTAACCAGAAGGTCCTAGGCCCGAACTTCGGTGGGTGCGTACTGATGAAGAGTCCTGGTAACTAGGGCGAAACGGCTGTCCAGTACTCCCAAGTTTTCCAGTGGTTCTCTAACTGATGTCAGCTAATGATAAAATCCTCCAACCAATCAAAACTTAATAAATGCCCACTGCATAGAGCTGAAGAGAGAAAGTCTAGACAAAATCATGTACACGGTATAATTTTTGTTAAAAATAGGAAGCTAAGTAGACAAGTAATTTAACTCAAATAAGATAAAATCATGAATTTAAGAAAAACAATATTTTCTAACCAACTTACAATGACCACTTTCCATTGTACCACGATGATTCTGAATTGAAAAAGAGGAGAAAAAAATCACAATACTGTTTCACGAAAACTGAAAGGTATTTAATTTAGAATCAGGTGTTTAGAGACGATATCTACCTACCAGCTCAGTGAATCACAATAGGACTTTAGTGGATTGATATGAATAAGCATGGAACACTCAAATCCCAATCTAGACTTCAGTATTCTTAGGTATACACTACACTAACAAGTAAAATGAAACCCGAAGTATGAGTAAAAACTGCCTTGTGGAATAAAAAACTATTTGATGTTTCGAAATGTTGTTCTGTAATGCAAATGTATTACATTTTAAGCGCAGTAAAATTCAAAGACGAAAAATCCACTGGAGCTACGCGGAAGGCAGTGCATCTAGACTCTACTGTTATAACGTTTATTTGTGGCGTGTGCTACTGACAAGCTTAATAAGTAGTATGTAAGTGTAGATATAAATATGAGTGTCATCTGTAAGAATATGGAACAATGGAGAAATGGATTTAGTGGAGAAGAGAAGAAATGAACAATGCTTGTAAAACAACTTAGGAAACACGAAAGGAAGAGAAAGAAGCGTAATACGGATCACATGTGCAAAATGTAACTTTAATATATAGTAGATGTAGTTTGCCTGTATATCCGCACATATAGTTGCCAATAAATAGCTCCGTTATCAGATTCCCCTGTGTTCTACAGTTGTAACGGTGGAAGACAAGGGACTTTGTATAGAAATGTCTTTTAGGAATTTGGTATCTCTACATAACCAAGTTATGCACAACCTATCCGCAAATCTTCATTTGCACTGATCTTCCGTGTTGTTCTACTTCTGTCCTTCATATTAGGTTTCTTTGTCTCGTTTTTGTGTCTACCATTTTTTACCACAACACTGAATCATTTGTTTTCTTTGACGTCAAATCTGTCACTCCACTGTTTGATACTTTTATGCCGATGAACATCTCTTAGTATACTACTGATATAGCTTATCAGTAGCACACGCTAGTTCAGTGAATTTTAACTTTATTATAACTTGACTCCACACAGTATTTTTGATACAAGTATGGAATTTTCAGCATGTAATATCGGTAGGTCAAATTTAGCAGGCCGACCATTGATATCAAATGTGCTTCGGACGGGAATCAAACCCCGGACCATGTGCATGGACGGTGAAAGTCCTAATCGCTGTGCCACCGACGCACCGGCGAAGTTAAACTTTCGACACCACTAACTACCAATCAGCGAATTATCCAATGAGATTCACGAACGATGTCGAATTATCCAATGAGGTTCACGAACGCAGTTCAATGTTGTATAGCGCTTGATTCATTTCTAATGCGTGACCTTACAAGGCTATTGTTGCAATTCGAGGAGGTTAGTGTTTTCCAGTATTTCCTGGATTTGAGTTGCTCCGGAAAGGACGAATTTGATTGTGTGGTGGTATCATGACTTTAAAAAGCTATACCAAATCAACTGATGGGTTTGTTCATCGTTGTGCTATATGTTTGAAGCCTACTAACACTAGAGAGGGTATGCTGATAATTTTATTATTTCGTAGGAACTTTTATCGCTAGGTCGCTTCTCTCCCTAAGGATAGCAGATAGAAAAGCAACTACTCTTATACCTATTGTTACCAGAATTGTTAAGCGGGGGTCAATTATACACACGGAAAGGCTACAGTTCGCTGTCATCTCTGGGATATATTCATCATAGAGACAACCATTCAAGTGATTTTGTGGATCCCGTTACGAGGACACATACAAATTCTAATGAAGGATTTTGGGGCAAGTTGGAAAATAGGATAAGGGCTATAAATAGATCTCAAAAGGATCTCATTTATAGTCATTTGGATGAATATATGTACAGGATATGGTGTAACTTCTCTATTGACAGTCCCATGCTAAACTAGGAGATTTTTCTCTCACATGTTCGAGAAAGATATCCCATGTAACCTTTTTTATTATCTATTTTATGCTTTTTTCTATAAATATACATTTCCATTCATCATATATGCCTCTTTAATGTGATTGGTCCGTTCGAGGTCGTTTGCTGATTGGTTGTTAGTGGTGTCGAAAGTTTAACTTTGCCGACGCACCATTATATATAATTTTCCAAAAAACAGAATAATCAGTTTGTTGAATGAAAAAAAATGCGGGCATGTGTCAAAAATACAAAAATAATTATTACTCATATCACTATGATCATCAGGTGGCCCTTATTTTAAGATGGCACAACTCTTACAGATTACTAACATAATAAAGGTCCATGAAAAAGATGGTTGCAGCGAATGAAATCTCTTTTCGACGAAGTCATCAACTAGGCTGTACATTCGTGTATTTATGATAAATGGGTGGGAAAGTCCGAGAATAATTTCCGGTTAAGGGTCAAATTAATAAAATTACAGTTAGGAATTAAAATCCCATAATAAATCGGGGGACGGATAAAATTCAAACAAAGTAGCATCATAATTACTGAGAAGATTGACATATTGTGCAATTAGAGGTTAGAAATGTAGAAATAACAAAAATAGATAGGATGGTTGGATAAAAAAAATCTAGTGGGATCGTAGCTAATTAACGAATAATTGTTGATGCAATCAGGGACTAAATATGTAGAAATAATAAAATGACGAAATAGACAGGAAGTTCGGATATGAAAATAAGGTAGTGTAAATAGGGACTAAGACAACTTAAAAATAACATGAATCAACAGGAAATTTCGATAAAAAAAAGGCAATGGGATGGCCGTTACAAAGAGAATTACCTGTTTATGATGGCCATGGCAGGGACAAAGGTTGGACGTTTTTCTTTTGGATATATAATGTGAGTTTGAGCTTTTGGATAGCTATTGCCTCGGCTATGCCCACATGTCTTAATTTTACCCCTTTTGATAGGTTTTATCAAATTTTGTATATTATTTTGAAAGATTTTTCAAATGGCGTTGAATGTCCTGAATTAACCGGATGTTCTGTCACTGAGCTATATACACGTTTTCGATCTCCTTTTACTGGCCAGGCTGGATAGTGTTCACGAGCAAGTAAACTGACATATGCACGCCGAAGTGGCCCAATGCGACAGTTTGTCTTACGCATTCTGGCTGAACAGTTTCTTGTCACTCGTAGGCTCGTAACGAAGTGTGTTTTCCTCAAAGATTTGGAGAGGCGTTTGAAATAAATTCCTGCTTCATTGCCACCTTTGAACTCTAAATTAAGCAGAAGTATTTTTTTTCGGACGGATTGGATATGTTCTTCCTTGATTTGAGATTCTTGTCTATGAACCTGGGCGGAAAACCGTTTTCTACTACGGTTCTTCGGAGATTACGCAGTTCTTCGTCAATCACTTCCTCGCTGCATATCTTCCGAATCCTTGAGGAAAGAGAGTATATCAGGTTCCTCTTCTGCCTAGGGACACGAAGCTATGGAAGTTGATGAATTGTCCATTACATGTACGCTTTTTGTATATAGACATTTTCAGATAGACGTCGACGAAATGGAACATTCCGTCGGATTCAGCCTCAAGAGTAAAGTCGATGTTTGGGTGGGCGCCATTTTTATTCCCTTGGATACCGAGTGGGACAAAGAGGTTCAGTAGCACATCACCGTTTCACTCAATTCTCTACAGTCCATTTTATCTGGTCCCACGATTGCACATAAGGTTCCATCGCCTTTTTTCACATTTTGTCCCACATGTCACCACCTTTGCACGTCCAACTCATTGATTACCGCTTAAGTCCTACTCGAAAGCCTGGCACATGATGTCACTCAGCGGTCTACTCATCATTTTTTTGTGCGTCAGTGGCACAGTGGTTAGGACTATCGCCGACCATGCAAACAGTCCGGTGTTCGATCCCCTGTCGACGCACACCTGATATCTATGGTCGGCCTGCAAAATTCGGGCTACCGATATCACATGCTGAAAATTCCATACCTGTACCAGAAATACGGTGTGACGTCAAGCTGTAATCAAAATAAAATAAATAAAATATGCCCAATCAGTCCCCATTTCTTTTAGCATATTTGTTGGCCTATAAGTTTTTAGTTAGTTTCTCGCCACAGTTCCTTGGCACTTGTCCTTTCTGGCTATCTGATCTTCAGTATCGAGCTAAGACAGCCGGTGGTTAATGAAAGTAAGTCTGCAGTAGCCTGTCAGAAATTTGACGCGTTCAGTCATTGAACTGTATAGAAGCACTCACTTGTTCCTAATGCTGAGTGCAACAGAATTCCACAGTGATTTCATATTAATTGAAGGTCTATCTTCCTTTTCCAATACGCCGCCTTTGACATTCTCGCCTACATGCCGCCTAACGTTGAGACAATGCCGTTTAGGTAAGTGAAAGAGAAGTGAATTTCGTTGACAGTCCTTTAATAAACGTACTTAAAAATAATGCCTAAAGTTGAAGCAAAACCTGAACAACAGCCAAACATCAGTTTGTTTGTGCTCCATTTTTTTATGCTAGACAACTTGTTTATAGAGAGTGCCAGAGATAATTCCATAAATAATCAATAAAAAAAAAACAGCAGGTATCAGCAAAATTTATCTTCAATGAACAACAATTAGAAAGATTACTTTGTTAAAATATATCACTTACTAGGACAGCGAATAAAGCATATTCACTGGAATGCAGTTTGGGACCAACAATAAACGAACTCATATCTAAGCTTTCAATGGGGAAGTTTACATTTGTTGTCTGTTTTCTCCAATTACCATGTTCATATCGAAATCTAAGGGTGCACATTAAAGTTTAATAAATAATTAATTCATAAGTTTCAAGGATAATAAGTTAGGCGAACTCTTTCACCCAAAAAGATTTCATTAACTAGCAAGTTCATTTAATCTACTAATTAATGGATGAATTAAAACAGGTATAAACAATTAATTGGTTTTAGTTCGATTTTGATATTTCCCCTTTAATTGATTGGATCGAAGTGTTCGGCCATTGTTGATACATCGGCTTCTGGAACGGACGCTTCGACGATATTCTGGTGATCATTATCTTGAGGTTAATTGATGGACGACTACTACTGGTGACTAGCAACAGAATCCAGAATACCTATTTCGTGCAGTCATATTCAGGACTCATCTTTGGATGTACCTGTATTCAAAGTGAGTCATAATGTCCCTCCACTAAAACTTTTGAACTCAGTAACCATTGTTTTAAACGCCAAAGCGTCATTAACAAGACACCACGGTGAGTCGCTTCTTTTTTGAAAATTGAATTAAAAACAAATGACAACTGATGCCTGTTTTGCACAAGAGGTGGCTTTTATGGCCCAAGTAGAGTCTAGCGGATAGCGATTTAACACTTAAAACGGCGGGTGTTGGATTTGAGTCTCAAGGAGGGGGGGGGGAACCACCACTCATTGGAATGCGCAAGTAGGTGATGAGTCCCAAATAGGATGAAATATGAATCCTGGATTCCACCGCTAGCCAACAACCACCAATTTATTCTTATTATTTCCTTTAATTCCAAGAGGAACACAGGGCTTCAGCTGCACGTCTCCATTGCGTTCAGTTCTCGGCTAGAGTTTTCACCCCGCTCCAAGTCTGCCTACATGCTTTCATCTCCTCTTCACATCACCTCCTCCAAGTCACACTCGCACAGACGACCAACTCGCCGCTTCCCTTTCCGGTTCCACTCGAGCAATGGCTTGTCTAGTGATGTCACTTGATCGTTTGTTTCCTTAGAGTATGGCCATCCAATCCACCTCCACTTCTTCCTGCCTATTTGTTTCACAATCGGTTCCTGGTTGGTTAGCTCATTTCCAGAGATCCCTGTTGCTGGTCGTTTTTCGCCAGCCATCTGATCTTGAGTGGTGTTGAGCGAAGACAACTGTTAATGAAGGTCTGTAGTTTGTTTGAGATGCTCTTTATGACGAGCTGGTCAAGTCTCTGATCCGTACAGCGAGTAGTACTGACTTCATATTGGAGTTGAGAATCCGGATCTTATTTTTGATGCTGAGTGCTGTTGACCTCCACACAGACTTGAGAGAAATGAAAGCTTGTCTTGCTTTCCCGATTCTGGCTTTGACATCCTTGTCAGTTCCGCCTGACTGTAGTTGAAACGATGCTTCCCAGGTAGGTAAAAAAAAATCGACCAATTTGCTTGAGGTATAAACAATGTTACTACACAAATGTTATCTCAGTAATATAATGTGCAATTTCATTAATTATTAGTTAAGCACAATAATACTTTATCTACGTTTCTATAACTTTTTGTCAATAATTAAGTTAAACGTTGATATAATAATTCAGATACTTGTACAGTTTTATCTAGTCGTCAGTCATGTTAACGATTCCTAAGTGAAATTTTACAGCTAACAACCACGTCAAAACATGAATCATTTCAACTAATCAATATGAAAAAAAACAGCTCTCTAAGTATGTCACAATATAAACTTTACAAAAAACACTCTAAAAAGAAAAAAAGAAAAATTTTAGAAAATCATAATTACAGGCACCTTAAAATTAAAAGATATTCAATTTAAATAAATACAAGAGAACATTGATATATGATAAGCGAACATCTGTTTCAGCAGGGATTTTCAATGAACCTTTTTTTGTTCAGGTCTGCGAGAAACTCTCATCACAAATAAGCCTAGTGAATGGAACATGCTTGTCAGACAAAGCTGTAATTAAGATATTAACTTCAAGTGTTTTGATGCTGTAAAGTACTGAAGGAAATTGCAATCTAAATTCTTTTGGTCTTTTGATGATTTAATATCAGGTGAGGAGAGATTGTGAGAGAAACTGCTCTGGAAAGTTATTCATTTTCTTACCTAACATAACACCTATTGATTCCATTAAGAATGGAAGGCTTGAAGGCTTGCCGAACGACCTATGCTTGTTTAGTTAGACAGATATAATGATGTCTCTAGAAGTGTATTTTTTGTATTCTTTCACGTTCCCAGTGGAACATAGGACCTCAAGCTAGAGGCTTGAAGTTTCTGTAGCACTGTTTATTTTTACAGGATGGCCTCATGCCCAACCTTCCCTCTTTACCAGCTTTATTTCTGGCTTAGCGAGGTAAAAGAGTGCGTCCGCCTGGATTCGAACCCCGGACCATGTGTATGGACCGCGAGCGTCCTAACCACTGTGCCACCGACGCACAGAAGTGTATTAGAGCTAACCGAATTATTGCGATAATCATACTCAAACCCTGTATGTTAATATATGAGTAAAACTTGGGCAGTGTGGTAGTAATTCCATATTAGTTTGTTTATTAGATGTATCACACAGTCAGTGAAACAGTATTATTATTTACTGGATGACGTATCGAACACAATTTATTGTTCACAATCATATCAATTGTAATCACACGACTTCGAAACTTGAGTTTTATAGTTTTGTGTGTCTTCTACTAATTGTTGTAGGGGTAGTATAATTTTCTAGATATCTGAGACAGGTGGTAAATTCTACTACCCCTACAACAATTAGTAGAAGACAAACAAAACTATAAAACTCAAGTTTCGAAGTCGTGTGATTACAATTGATATGATTATGAACAATAAATTGTGTTCGATACGTCATCCAGTAAATAATAATACTGTTTCATTGACTGTGTGATACATCTAATAAACAAACCTGTATGTTAGTGTTTTTAATTAATTTTATTCCTTTACTTTCCCAGTGGAAAATAGGGCTTCAAGCTGGAGCTTTGAAATTCAGGTAGTCGTGGTGTCTTTTTCACAGAGTGAGGTTGCTAGTCCCCAATACCCTGGTTTATAGACAGCGGTAAAGGAAAATATCGACTGGGGATCGAACCTCGAATCACATGAGTGGTTGGCGAGCATCCTACCGCTGTACCATCGACGCATGTTAGTGTTCACTGGACAGGAACTGTTCAGGAACACCTGTTAGTTAGAATGCCCTGGCAACTTAGAATGTGACCGATGTGTTTAGTAGTCAGACTGTTTGCATCTTTGTTACACGCACGATAAGCTACTTAGACGATCTACTCTATTGAACTTGCAGCTGTTTCTCAGTTTTCTTGACTGATTGATAAGTCTATTGATTACAAAGTGATATTGATGCCAAATTTAGTAAAATTCCTCTGTATACGTTTATAAAAGCGGATTTATATTTGTAGTTATCACGTGGATCAGTATGTGTAAAGGCATACACTAACTATTTTGCTCGGTATGATTTATTTATAACGGAAAAAGTTCTATTCGTAGATTATAACCGATTCATTTTTGCTGCTTTCATTGTCTTCTGATTTGCATAGTAATCAGTGCAGTGCTTTATGGGCTTGTGAGTTACATAGGTCTTTAAGAACCACCTCACAACAGAGTTATTATAATTTGTGAAATTTTCTTCAGGTTAGCGAAGGTTCACCGTGGGAGGGCTCTCGAGTGGTTGCGCCACAGGATGATCCTGCATGCCGGTCTCGTCTCGCAAGAGGCAGGGATGGGTGTGTTTGGTTCTCCTGAAAACCAATACCCAGTCAATGGGTGTATCACTGTGTGAATAAGGGGATTAAGCCACAAGGTCGCTTCTCTCTAAACTTTATCTTAATATAACAATTCCCTTCTCAGGCGTGAGGCTAGCAACCCCACCCTGTAAGCAAAGTTGCTACAGAAACTTCAGCGCGATGAATCTGTTTGCACCAAAAGAAAAAGTCTGTGTGGGGATATGGAACGTCCGAACCATGTACGAGATTGGCAAAGCTGCCCAGATCGCCAACGAGATGAAAAGATACGGATTCCAAGTACTGGGAATATGTGAAAGCAGATGGAATGGGAATGGACTCACCAAATTGTCAACGGGTGAGTCAGTGATCTACTCCGGTCACCCAGAAGATAACCACACGCACACCGAAGGTGTGGCTATCATGATGTCACCAACGGCAACAAAGGCCCTGATGTAATGGGGGCGATCTCGTCCAGGATAATGACCGCCAGATTCAACTCCAAAGGAAGGAATTATATACAATTATGCAATGTTATCAACCCACAAACAACGCAGACCTCGAAAAGAAAGAAGAATTCTACAGACAACTACAGGCAGCAATGGAAAATACTCCAGCTGGTGACATTAAAATACCAATAGGAGAAATGAACGCCAAACTGGGACCAGGCACCAGGGGAAGAGAACTCATCATGGGTAGAGAAGCTGTCGGAAAAATGAATGAAAGTGGAGAACATTTCGCTGACTTCTGCGCCTTCAACGAACTAGTGATTGGTGGCAGCGTATACAAACACAAAGATATCCACAAGGCTACATGGGTGTCACCAGATGGGCGAACCAAAAACCAAAGTGACTTCATCTCAATCTCAAGGAAGTGGAGGTGCAGCCTACTGGACACAAAAGTAAGAAGAGCAGCAGACGTTGGCTCAGACCACTATCTCGTACAACGGACAATCCAAATCAAACTAAAAGCTTTCAGTGAAACAGGAGCTGCAGATAGACCACAAGCCGAGTTCAGCACTCGAAAACTGAAGGGCCAGGATACAAAGGAGATCTTCACTGCTAGCATAAAGGACAAAGCCGAGACAAATCAAAAATAGCGAAGAGGTCGGCGTCGAAAAGCACTGGGACAACTTGAAAACGGTGTGGAGTCAAACCTGCATAGAAGTTCTAGGCAGAAAGAAGAGGCAGGACAAACAGTGGCTCACTATGGAAACTAATAGAAGAGAGAAGGACAGTGAAACAAAAGATTATCCAGTGCACCGACGAGCAACAAAAACAGGAGTTGAATGCAGGCTTCAATACGCTAAACAAAAAAGTAAAGAAGAGTGTCAGGGAAGACAAAAGAAAATATTATGAAACCATGGCAAGTGAAGCAGAACAAGCTACAGGCAAAGGAGGCCTCGCCACACTCTACCAAACAACTAGGCACCTAACGGGCAAAAGTTTTACACAGATTAAGCCAACTAAAGGATGACAATGGAAAGTCAATCACCAAAGAGGTGGAACAGAGAAAGCACTGGGTTGAACACTTCAAAAGACTTCGAAATCGACCGCCACCTACAACGCGCCCAACAATACCAACAACGGAAGCAGAACTACCAGTGAACATCGACCCTCCGACGAAATCAGAAATCCTGGAGGCAATTAAGATACTAAAAGCTGGAAAAGCATCAGGACCAGATGGAATCCCAGCAGAAGCTTTGAAAATGGACCCAGAGACAACAGCGGACGCCATTGCTGGAGATGTGGATTTAGGGCAAAGTACCCGAGGATTGGAAGAAAGGATACTTATTCAAACTACCAAAGAAAGGAGACTTAAGTCAATGCAAAAACCGGCGCGGAATTATGCTCCTGTCCATTCCAAGCAAAATACTAAGCCGAATCATCCTGGAGAGAATCAAACAAGCCCTGGATGCAAAACTCCGACAGGAACAGGCTGGATTCAGGAGAAACAAGTCATGTATTGATCAAATCGCCCCACTACGGATCATCATTGAACAGAGCTTGGAATGGCAGTCACCTCTCCACCTCACTTAACTTCATCGACTTTGAAAAGGCCTTCGACAGCGTCGATCGAGAGGTGATTTGGCAACTACTTCGCTACTACGGGGTCCCATCGACAATCATACATCTCATCCAACAGTTATACGACAATGCTGCATGCGAAGTAATCCACAACGGGAAACTTACGGAAGCCTTCGAAGTGAGGACGGGAGTGAGGCAAGGCTGTCTACTATCACCAATGATCTCCCTGATTGCAGTAGATTGGATAATGCGATAGACAACGGGCAATGAAGAAAGAGGCATAAAATGGACTCACACAAAAGACTTGGAAGATCTGGACTTCGCCGATGACATATGTCTGATATTTTAAAAACTGGAAGATATGCAGGTGAAAAGCAACAAGTTGGTAGAAGAAGCATCAAAGAGAGGACTTCAGATAAACATAGATAGAACAGAGGTGATGATGAAGATTCATGGCCAACAGCAACAACAATAGACAACAATCAGCATAAATGGGAGGAACTTGAAAGAAACAACCTCCTTCACCTACCTAACTGGGAAGCATCGTTTCAACTACAGGCGGAACTGTCAAGGATGTCAAAGCCAGAATCGGAAAAGCAAGACAAGCTTTCATTTCTCTCAAGTCTGTGTGGAGGTCAACAGCACTCAGCATGAAAAATAAGATCCGGATTCTCAACTCCAATATGAAGTCAGTACTACTCGCTGTACGGATCAGAGACTTGACCAGCTCGTCATAAAGAGCATCTCAAACAAACTACAGACCTTCATTAACAGTTGTCTTCGCTCAACACCACTCAAGATCAGATGGCTGGCGAGAAACGATCAGCAACAGGGATCTCTGGCAATGAGCTAACCAACCAGGAACCGATTGTGAAACAAATAGGCAGGAAGAAATGGAGTTGGATTGGATGGCCATACTCTAAGGAAACAAACGATCAAGTGACATCACTAGACAAGCCATTGCTCGAGTGGAACCGGAAAGGGAAGCGGCGAGTTGGTCGTCTGTGCGAGTGTGACTTGGAGGAGGTGATGTGAAGAGGAGATGAAAGCATGTAGGCAGACTTGGAGCGGGGTGAGAACTCTAGCCGAGAACTGAACGCAATGGAGACGAGCAGCTGAAGCCCTATGTTCCCCTGGTAATTAGAGTAATAGCGAAGAAAATCAGTTTGTTGAATGCCAGTGATAACTCTTTTTTTATTGGGAATGAGTTTCACACTTTCTAAATGACGAGAACTTTAAGAAGACGTAAAGATCAATAGATAATTAAGACAGCTGTTTTGCTACTTGATGTTTCTCGGAGAGGCGGAATGAATGAATAGTTTGAAAAATATAGTTGAAAGTAATCTACAGTGAAATGAATGTATTATACACTCAGCTATAATATAGTTTCCAGTCCAACTAGAGGTGCAAAGTTTGTTCGATCTGCTTTTTTTAAACTGTACTACTGCTTTTGATTTTATATCCCTTGGACACTTTTACTAAGGAAGCTTACATCAGCACGCAATAAGTACTGGATCACAAGGTATCTGGCTTTCTACTTTTCAGGTGAGAAATAACCTATTATTTTAAAATGGGAAGCGCTCTAATCCTCTGGCTACGGAACTGGTGTGCCTCAACGTGCTATACACCTTCTCCAATTCTTTCTCTTTGCATTATTTACCGTATTCCTCTAAGGATAATTTCACTACATAGGCTGATGGTCTGATGATTTTTATCCCAGTCGTTTTTGCACTACATTTTTCTGATATGAACAGCTTTTTATCTTAGGTTAACCAGTAGTCTTATTCAAATGGTCTTGAAACTAAATACTTCTACGTGTCATACTGCTGATTTTAGTTTCACATGTGAACAAGACTTCCGTAGACTAATTCAGTCCCATGATTTTTGAAATATCATATGCACTATATGATAGAAAATAAAGTGAATATTGCTATCGCGGTATCGATTTCTCTTCAAATCTAGGTTGGTCGTCTCCTAACTTGTTGATTTCCTAAAGAATTTTTCACCTAACGTATTTCATAAGGAAGCTGAGAGTTTCTGGATTAACTTAACCCCTTCTCTTAACAATTTATAAATTCATGTATTCTGTCGATTCTTCTTTACTGTTTTGCCTTATTCTTCCCTAGACCTAACTGACATTTGTTGCTATCAGGCGTTTTAATTCCTGAAAGCAACTTGTTAACTTGTCGGTTAGTGAACATCCTCTTTCTTATTCGCAACTTTCTCATCTTCTGGTAAAACCAAAAGAAATTTCATAAGGATTTATGCTCATGAAGCAAAATATAAAAATTCAACCACAGTACATTTAGCACGGATTTTATGTGAAGCGACAAATGTCAGGGAAGAGCTTGTAAATCTACTCTTTAGTCCGTGAATAAACAACAAATAGTAACGAGGATTTAAGTATTGGTCTGTAGGGATTTGGTTGATTGGTTACAGGATTTCATCATGAGCTGACATTGGTTAAAGAACCATTGGAAAACCTGGGAGCACTAGACATCCGTTTCGTTCCAGTTTGGGACTCTTCAGCAGTACGCACCCATCTGACCCTATCTAGGTGGGTAGTTATCTGGGGTTCTAGTGAGAAGTCATGACCAGTAGGGTGCAGCAGGCGAGTGTGTGGGGACAAATACTCGCCGAAGACATTGGCTAGCGGTTGCTCTATATAGTGAATTGGCAGAAGTTGGAATTCATGGGCTGGCCATTGGATTGGGTCCCAGTGGCTCAATGGTCTTCGAGCTCGCTAGCCTTGTAACCAGAAGGTCATGGGTTCGAACCCCGGCGGGTGCGTACTGACTAAGAGTCCCAAACTAGGATGAAACAGCTGTCCAGTACTCCCAGCAGGTTTTCCAATGGCTCTCCAGCCAATGTCAGCTCATGATGAAATCCTGTAACTAGTATAACGAGGATTATTAATTATTATTATTATTACAGATATTATTCATCTGTTAACTGTCAGTCTTTGAGATTTTATTATTTCTACTACTTTATTTGTGGATTTATTTGTAAAAAGGAGATAAACTGTTGTACAAAATGTACAAAGTTGAAAATTCCACTCTGTATTAAAAATTATTGTTTGGAGAGAAGTGATTATTATTACTACTTTATGTTCCGGTAATTAGACGACGTTTCATTATCAATATCTCTATACTTTCTAAACCTTACACAAATCTACGGTTACAAGGCGTCGAGTACTAGGTAAGGGGAGGGGGAAATCAATAGAAGAGGTTAAGAAGTTACACCGATTGAGATGGTTAGGACATATGTTACGCATGCCCAGCTATCGATAAGCCTTCCTCAACCAGCAATGTTATCTAACTGACATAGGATCAGGTTGGAAAAGAGCTAGTGAAGGTAAAACTAAAACATGGCTTTATCAGTCAACGAGATCCACAACAGTTAGCTAAAGCCAGCCAGTCACGTGGAGAGGTGTAGATTTCCTGATTGGTTGGGGTCATCGGGGGTGGTAAAAACCAATGAAGGCTGGAGAAAATTAACTGGTGATATGGCTCAAAATCGTTGTCAATGGCTGGCGCAGATCCATTCACTCTCTGTGATTTATCATATCCAACAGAACTACTTTTTTCAAAATATAACTATTCCTTTTGCCGCATATCTCAGTTTATTATCTCTCTATTGAATCTCTCTTCTCCTGCTTTGTGTGCTACAAGGAGGTAGGTTAGCTAATCTAACTGCTGCACATCTGTTGAAACCAGTCAGTCAGTCAGTCTACGGTTACACCATTTGAAAAATAAAAAAAAACACCATGTACAAACCTATTGAAAATAAAAAAAGGGGAAATTACCTTTTCAAGTGTATAATTAAATAAGTCGGTAATTTCCATAATTCTATCCACTTAGAAGCATCACGTCTTGTATTGCATGTTGGACAGTGCCAACGACATGGACCGACCATTTCTTCTTTTTCGAGAAATAACTTAAGACAATCCTGTCACAAAAAATGGGAATAAAGAATAATAGAAAGCGAAGATTACAAATGTGCTAAAAAGTTATCCAATTGTATACAATAATAAAAGTTGAGACAAACTGATATGTACCCACATGATGTGTGTTTTGTTTTTGACAGTCTATTATATTTTGCTATGTGTAAATGAATCGATATTTCATTATAACTGACAATATGCTTTTGTCTGTCCACTAACTAAATAAACAATGTATGACCTTGCTGTCACATGACATTACAACCAATCATGGTAAGACGTTATCTTATTGGTTCATGTGTATTAGCCATTTTCATATATACTTTTGTATTAGACACTTGTAGATTATTCGTGTTCACACACTTTTTCGTACATCTAAGTACCCTTCCACTCACACACTTGTGTGACATTTATTTTCCTTGTCTGGAAAATACAAGTATCATCGTAAACCTAGTGGTCTTCTGATATCCCTCTTTCCGCGTCAGGACTATTAACTACTCGACGAGTACATAACACTAACACTCATGGAAGAATTTCAAGGCGTAAAAATTGTATATGTGAGGGCTACTATACATTTACCTAATCAGGCAGTGTTATATCTGTTATACGCATTGTGAAAGTAATGTCAATCAGACAACCAGTGAAAGGAACGGAAACATCTCACTTTCGTATATTCACGATTTCATTGGCTGTTGGGATCCACATTAAGAAGCTTGATTTATGCGTCCAAAGGAAGCTAGTTTAGAAATTATCCTTACCTTGACCATCTAGGTTTGAATGATCCTCAATTTTTGTGGAAATTTCCTTAATTTTTGTTGATATTCTATTTGCTATTGTATTTTTATTATGATTATTATAATTTATGCATCTCTACTGAACTGTAATTCCATTGATCTTATTTTATAAATGAACATTATTTAAAAAACACTAATATTGTTATTAACTACTAATCTAGAATATTCTGTGTATATAAACATATATGTAATCGTAGAGCCGGAGGAGGAATTTATCGAAAAGAATATTCTTTGCTCAATTATTTTGTGTTTTATTCTGTTTTGGTCAAGGAATCTTCTCATGAACAATCTACTCATAACACTGATACTTACTCGAGTATTTGAACCACTTTTTTTTAATTACTACGCTTTTCCTCTGACTTTTATATAATCGTTCTAGCATTGGCCTACTTTTTGACTTAATCCTAATCATATGTCTTTCCCTTTGGCTAGTTACTACTTTTGTTTTACTTTGGTGTTGTATGATTATGGAATGTTGACCTTAATGTGTTTTGTGATTACAACTTTGTTTGACTTAATTAAATGTAATGCTGGGGAATAACTGCATAACCTTGTTCTATATGCGGCAAACGTGTTTTGTTAAGTTTTATTCTGGTAAACATAATGTTTTGACCCCACCTTGTTGGGAGTATTCGTTTTTTAATTAATAGTGTTCTCTGAGCTGATTGGTTTAGTTGCGGAGCTTGTGTCGTCCTTCTGGACAACATCTTCAGCGCAATATTTAGCATAAAGTGAAATGATTTAAATTTTTCATGAGTGATATAATTGCGTCTCCCGGTAACCATCTTTATATATGTACTGATCATTTTCTATTGACTTGGATTTTAAACTTTCTGGTCACCTAAGCAAAATGCATTGAAGAAACTGAAGAATAGAAAAGATGTAGTTATTCTACCGGCTGATCAAGGAAGAACAACAGTAATCCTGGAAACAAAAGACTACATACAGAGAGCAGAGGATTTACTCAAAGATAATAATGTATATCAACAGTTGACGAAAAACCCTATACAAGCATTCGATAACAAAATCAGAACAACGTTAAATAAACTAACGAAATCAGGACAAATTACAGAACAAGATCAATGGCGAATAAATCTAACGGAATGGTTATCCACAAAATTTCATCAAAAAGTGTTTAAAATCGAATCAAAACACCAAAAAAGAACCATCACCAAAGACCAAAAGGAAAGTCATCCAACCATACATGAAAAATATCTCTGAAATAATAGCTAGAATAATGAAATCGTCTGATATTGATATAGCACACAAACCAGTCAAATCGCTTAATGCGATAATATGCAAACCGAAAGATCCAACAGAAAAAGGAGATAAAATTAATACCATTTACAAAATAAATTGTATGAACTGCAACAGGCGTTACATCGCCCAGAGTGGGCGTCGTCTTCGAATAAGAATCCAAGAACACAAATCAGCCGTGAAAAGACATGATATAAATTCTTTAGTATCAATGAATACAGACGATTATGGACATCAATTTGATTGGGATAATGTAGAAATCTTAGACAGAGGAAACATCAAAAGTGCCAGGGAATTCCTAGAAGCCTGGTACTCAAACGACTATGCAATTAACAAACACGTTAATATAGACCAAATATACCAACTAGTAAAAAGTAAATCATGTGACCAGAAAGTTTAAAATCCAAGTCAATAGAAAATGGTCAATACATATGTAAAGATAGTTACCGGGAGACGCAATTATATCACTCATGAAAAATTCAAATCATTTCACTTTATGCTAAATATTGCGCTGAAGATGTTGTCCAGAAGGACGACGAAAGCTCCACAACTAAACCAATCAGCTCAGAGAACACTATTAATTGCAAATCACCCACCTGAGTTACAAATCTTCTCTAGTATTTCTTTTTAACGATTCTCAGGTAACTAACTATTGTGTTTGGTCAGTTGATTTTGTTGTGCAGTATGTATTTTGTACTCAAGATACTTTTGGAATGCATAGGCTGCCGAGTGGCGTTTTTTAGGTGGCGCTGTATTTTTGATATTACACAAACGTAAGATTTAGACTGTGAGTAACTCACAGCTACAACCACAGAACGCGCCGATTGTGATTGCCTGCGTTTAGACCAAAATATTTGAGTTTTGGTCATGGTAAGGTATTCACAATGGTAAAATGAAGTTTACTTGATAACCACAAGTTGATTTAACTCACTAGAGTTACTTTATATTTCTTTTTGAATATCATAATAACAGAACAGTTAAGTCACAGGATTTTTCAATGTAGAAAAAAACATGAATGACAACACAATGAATTCATTTACTTTTTCTGTGACAAATATAACTAATAATAATAATCATTATTATTACTAATTCGTCATTTACTACGCACAAAAGAACACACAACATCAATTACCCAGATAAGTGTGTGTACAACGTATCATCATCGAAACAAACAAAACAGTAGGCAGAATAAGACAAGTTGATCTGCATGAAATATTTTAGCTAATCTATTTACTTGATGACGTCTTTGTTGGCTAGCATAGTTGAATTAAATACCAAAATTCACCGAAAATATATATCTATAATTAGTAGTAAGGGTTAGTATTATTATTAATCAGCTGTTTGAATTGTAAGTGTAAACCGAGTGAGTTTCGAAACTGCTAACCAAATGGTTGAAGGTTAAGTAAGTTCCATAATATTCGTTGCCTCTTATTATATATACTATACAGTAATAATTTCATAGAGTGATAAAGAATCTTGACTAAACTATTATGTAATAGACCAAGTTGCATATCCTCCCACTAATTATTATTCATTCTTTGAGTTCTGAATGGAACAAAAGACTTCGGTTGCATATCTCCATTGCACTCGGTTCTCTGCTGTCTGTTTTAGTTAGCTTCATGACTGCCAGAAGTATGTATTTCCTATTCACAATGTGAATTGTTCTATGTCAACCGGAGACGCCCAATTCTACCCTAACCATTCACATTCCACTCGACGGTCCGGCGTGTGATTCCACTTGACAATATCCTCGGAGTATGTTCAGTTGACCTTCATCTGCACATTTGTTGGGTGATAGGTCCTCGACTGCTTCAATCTCTGTCTGACATAATTCTTCGTTGCTTATCCTCCTTTCCGGTCGGTCATCTGATCTTCAGTATCGACCAAAGGCATCTTTTTATGAGAATTTACAGCCTTTTGGAAATGCTTGTTGTGACGCAACAGATTTCTGAACTATACAGAAGCACTGGGTTCAGGGTAATGAATGCCCATCTAGCTTTTCCGATACTGACTAGCTTTGACATCCTCATCTGTGCCGCCTGCGGCTGAAACGATGTCGCCTAGATGTTTGGAAGGGACAACTTCCTTCCTTTAGATTTATTGCATGACGGTGAATGGTGTTTGTTGTTGTGGTTTGGGTATCTACATCACTACTATCTTCATGTTCACCTGAATTCCTGTCTTGGTTGCCTCTTTTCCCACCTTGTGGGTTTTCGTTCGTGTGTATAGACAGTTCGTGTGACGTCCGCATAATGGAGCCATCTTCACATTCCCCACGACCTGCCACATGATCTAATCCACCACAGTCTGGAAGATCATCGGTGGATTTAGGCAGTCAGTGTCTCACTGCTACAGGGAGCTTTCTGTTGTGAATTAATTGACACGCGGAGTCGTCATGTGGCTGCTGAAAGAGGTTTATCAATGTTTACGGCACTGCACAGAGTAGTTTTGAAGCAGATGCCAAATTATATCACACTCGACTTTGTCAAATACTTTTTCCAAGTTGATGAGGTTGAGATAAAGAGTTGACTGCCAACCTATGCATGCTCTGTCCAATAATGATGCTCAATGTTGCAATTGAGTTTTTTTGAATCCAGGCTGTTCTGGGCGAAGTCTACCATCCAGGGTATCTTCCAGTCGTCCCATTTTGACGTGGTTTAAAATTTTGCTTGGGTGAACAGAAACATGTGACGATGCGTGGGAGAGTTAGTAATATATTGGATTAAATTCGTTATCCCATCATTTCCACCAGTGGCATGTTGACGGATATTGATCACACTTTACACACTGTTTGTGCAAAGATGTAAGAGTGCATTCAGCTACTACATTGTGATCCATGTCTAGACCTAGGAGAAGCAGTCTAGACAATTATGATGTGTAACTTCCAAAGATTTTAGACTCGTTTTATCTTTTTCGAGGTTTCATCAATGTTCCCTAACGTACCACTTATGGAGCACAGTGGAATTCGTGTACTCACAGACTATAGAAATATAGGCTGATGTTGAAATTCCAATTATTATCCTAAGTAAAACTACTTCTAAGATGTTTCATGAATGTACACCTCACATTCAACAACATCTGTTATCATAGACAGATTGATGTCAACTCCATGGGTTCTTTACTAGCTGCACACTTATGACAGTCACTTTTCTTGTTAAGCTAGAAATTGATCACTATTAAAACAAGTAGTAATATAAGCTGGATTCTTATTATTATCATTACGTTGATAATACATTTATAATTCCTGAATGGGAAGCAGACAAGGACGATATGTTTAGTCGAACAGAGTAGAAGATGGTTTACTCAAGAGATATGTTTACAGAAAGACAATGTTTATGGGATATATATATATATATATATATATATATATATATATATATATATATATATATATATTCTTCTTTTGTCATTTTCCAACAGGCTAATTATTATTGTTCAGGTTAAGTTACCTACATGTACTGCCTAGCAGCGCATGATTTAAGTTATAAGTCTTTAATTTATACCACAGTTAACTCACGAAAATAGAAATTATACAGTTACAACAAGATGTCCTAATCAGTAAATGGTATTCTACACAAACTGTGAATTCCACACCAACTTTCTAGTTTACAGATGTGACTACTCACAACGGAAACATGTACATTACTAAAGTGTTCTTAATCAAGTAAGCTAGTGCTTAACTTTGAACTGCGGACTGATATTAATTAGAGACCGATTAGCAACCAAGGAGTAATGGACAGTTGCTTTGTCTTAGTGATATAAGAATAAAACTTGTGCACTGTGGTAGAGTATAATTCCATTATGGGTAAAATTTGTTTTGATAAAGTCTCAGTGTTATACAGTAATGTTTACTGATGATGTTTCAAGCACAATTTATTGCTCATAATCATATCAAGGTACTCACACAACATCCTAACTTCATTCATATAGTTCCATTGTTTTTTACTTGATTTGATTGGTAATAGTATTTTCCATATTTCGGGTATGAGTGATGAATCATTCCTATTGCATGTATTGGGTGTAAACTCGATGAACAAGAATTCAGTAATCAACCTCTCTCTCTCCACCTTTCTAGATTACTTTTTCGAATTTTAACCCTATCCCACCCTATTGTGTGGTTGTGTGTTAATGCATGCATTGTAATTGCTGAGGTTTTTTCTAAATGACTTATCTTCTCGGGGTCAACCATTCTTACCTTAGCTAAATTCTCATGTTCTGACAATCTGACTACACCTGACCTACTATTTTGGCCTATGTAGTTGACCTCACAGCCATTGCAGGGTATTCTGTAAATTATATTTTGTCTAATTCGGTGATGAGATGAATTGAAGTCTAAATATCTACTAGAATGAGTTGGCTTTCTGTACACACTAATGTCCAGTTTACTTTCTTCCATTTGTTTTATTTTACAATCTAACATAGCTAATTCTACCTGTTCGTTTTCCGCTTCACATGTGAATTTTATTCCCTCTACTAGTGAGTTTACGTGTGTCAAGAAGCTAGAGATATGTTCTGTTTTTAACACTTTGAAAGTGTCATCCACATATCTCCACCATATTTTCGGAGTAGGATTAAACGTATTAAGAGCCATATTTTCCCAGCTGTTCATAAATATATCTGCTAGGATAGGGGATATTGGTAATCCCATTGCTACACCTTCTGTTTGTCTATATATTCTGTCTTGAAATTTAAAGATAGTAGATGTGAGGAACTATATAAATGAAGTTAGGAAGTCGTGTGAGTACCTTGATATGATTATGAGAAATAAATTGTGCTCGAAACGTCATCAGTAAACATTACTGTATAACACTATGAGACTTTATCAAAACAAAATTTACCCATAATGGAACAAAAGTAAAAGGTTGAATGTGGACGTCTAGCGCTTACAACGGGGCTGGTGGACATGCAGGTGTCTACCTAGGATGTACACGCGCTTCAGAATCCGAACGCATCGAATGACATATGAACCTGTTCTTGGTTACCAGAAACCATGGGAATGTAGCTCCTAATAACGATTTAGACTTCAAGTCAAAGACTTAAGAGGTGGTCCTTTAAGTCATAAAAACGATTCCTTCAACACCAGAAGGAATTATGAACGTTAAAATGATAAGTATCATGGTAAGATCAGACAGCTCTCTCTCCCCCTCCGTAGAATTTTATATTCTACAATAATTGACAAATGCATATTGACTTGATGATTTGAAAACCATTAATCTTAATCAATACTAGTGTATGTTACTAATAGAAGCAATGATGTGATAGATAAGTGATTTAAAAAAGAGCTTTATCTATTCACGTGACAACTGTTTTTGACATATTTTGTCATTTATTGATAGAAGCATTAATGGTATCTGAAAGGTGTCATCCAAATGAATCACTTGGTGATAACAACCACACATACAATACACATACAAGCAAGGTTATCATAACCATTTAAGGCAACAGTTAAAATGAAATTACCGCTAATAATAGTAACAACAATTAGTATGTTTCATATTTAGAAAGCATATATGCATAACATACAGCATGTCAATATGTTTGTGTCATTTATTTTTTGCTTATTATTGGGAAAAATAGTAATAGTAAGTGAAAAGTATGTAACTCAACTTATGAAAACAAGTACAACATTATGTACCAACACATCATGCGAAAATGAAAATAACTTATTGATATAAGGCATAAAACATGGGCACTGCGATAGAGTATAACTCTATTATGGATAAGATTTTATTTTGATAAATCACACAGTGTGTTATACAGTAATATTAACTGATGACCACGTTTCGAGCACAAATTATTACTGCTTATAATCATATCAAGTAACTCACACAACTTTCTACTTCATTTATATACATGAGTGGAACTGACCAGATATTGGAATAAAAATCAATATGGAATAATGTACATTCAGAAATAATAATATGAGTGTTATTGATCAATTACAATCAGATGGGAAATGAGACGGGTGTTTTTATTGTCATAATAAGTAACTTATTAGAATGTTGTGATGTGCTTGAATTGAAATAGAATTTCAAGATTATTTATTATCCTGCTCTGATTTGACTGACTGGTGGTAATAATATCTTCCCTATTTCTGGTATTTGCATTGAGTCATTTCTGTTGCATGTGCATGTGTTGGGTGTAGACTCGATGAACAAGAATACAGTAATCAATCTCTCTCTCGCCACATACATAGATTACTTCTTAGAATCTTAACCATCTCCCACCCTATGTAGGATTCTTAATAAAGCAGGAATAAGAGTGGCATTCAAACCTGCAAACTCATTCAGAGACAAGCTCTGTAGGCTAAAAGGCCCGGTAGACCCAATTAAACAAAATAATATAATGTACAAAACACCTTGCGATGACTGAGAGTGAGGTCAACAATATAGGTCAAACTAGTAGAACGGGGGTAGTCGGATTGTTGGAACATAAGATTGTAGCTAAGGCAAGAGTGGTTGACCCCGAGAAGATAAGTAATTTAGAAAAAAGCTCAGCAATAGCACTGCATGCATTAACACAAAACCACACAATAGGGTGGGAGAGGGTTAAGACTCTAAGAAGTAATCTATGTAGGTGGAGAGATTGATTACTGAATCCTTATTCATCAAGTCTACACCCAACACAGCACATGCAACAGAAATGACTCAATGCAAATACCAGAAATATGGAAGATATTATTACCACCAGTCAGTCAAATCAGAGCAGGATAATAAATAGTCTCAAAATTCTATTTCAGTTCAAGCACATCACAACATTCTAACAAGTCACTTATTGTGACTGTAAAAACACTCGTCTTATTGTTTCTGGATGTACATTATTTCACATTGATTTTTATTCAAATATCTAGTCAATTCCACACATGTATATAAATGAAGGGAAAAGTTGTGTGAGTAGCTTGATATGATTATGAGCAGTAATAATTTGTGCTCGAAACTTGGTTATCAGTTAATATTACTGTATAACACACTGTGTGATTTATCAAAATAAAATCTTATGCGTAATGGAGTGAAAATAACCTACTTAAATCCTTTGCGATCCGAATGGGACTGTAAGCTTGAGCTTAGAAGTTTCAATAGCAATGGTGTTTCTTTTTACGAGGCGTGGTTGGGGGGTGGAGGAGTTAGTTGGCCTCACATCCAAAATTTCCTCTTCAATGGGCATATTACCGGCTAAATGAGGTGCGGGGGGGGGAGTTATCAGCCGGGCGGGAGTAGGGGTGCGAACCCCAGATCACGTGCGTGTTTAGAGATTATTTCTACTATTGAAGCACCGACGCGCATGAAGGAATAAGACTTTAATAAATAATCAAACAGACATTTACACATTCATAAACAAAGAGAAGATGAACTCATTAAAACTTACAGTTAAATGGCATGCATTATTCTGTTCCATTGGTAAGGATAATACCATGAAGACATCAAATGTTATCGAAGTTTTATGACAATTACTACACTTTACAGTAGAACGGAGAAGTCCCTATAAGAAAACAAAAAAATGAATACGCTTAATTAGTAGTAGTGTTATTCTTTGAAGGGAATAGAACATTTCTTTCGTTAATCTATCACTTTGGTACGAACACAAAGGGTTAAAGTGTTATCTGAGCGAGACGAGACGTAGAACTCTATGCGTAATACTAATACAGCAGTTCAAGTTGTTACATCGCTCCATGTACCCCACATAAGGGTATAGAAAAAGAGATAGAATTAAAAAGAACTACAATTAATTAGGAAGAAATATACGGTAGAAGGAACAGTAGCGTGAAAACATGAGGAATTAATGATTATGAAGGATTACAAAGACCGAATGCATCATCTGCTATATCTACAACAGTCATAAGCGAGTAATTCTTACCGTCTTGGGGACCCCAGTCAGGCACAGTCTACCTTTGCTTACACGACTCACATCAACAGTCAGAGGCTTCATAGATTGATGTCAAGTTTTCATTTGACTACCCAGCGCTCTTTTCCAAGCTGAACTTATGTCAGCTAACACTGCTCGACGAAGAAGCAGGTAGTATCAGTTTGACGAGTGGGGGGGGGTTGTTAATAAGAAACTTTATTAGTAGAGTACTAACGAATCTTAGTTGGTATTTTATCAGGCAGATAAACAAAGAATAACAAAAATCTCAGGAAACAGTCATTACTGATGGCAACTGTAAAAAGAATTATATCTGGCAGAAAAAAACACCTTCATTACTCAAAGTGGCAGTTTATCGCGCTTCCCGCTACGAAACAGATTCAACTATTGTAACAATAGAAGACAAGGGCCAGGCAACAGATCGTTTATTTAGGAAATCAACACATGATCAAATATTGGGGACGTACACACTGACGTAAATAACTATCTACCAATTTTGGCTAACAGCCAGCTCTCACCACAGCTATAATTAAAGTGATAATGGGTGAATGAGTTAATTATTATAGTGATTATTGTAAATCCGGACTCAAATACGACTTATTTCACTTTAGTTCGTGGCAAAAATATCATTTCATCGCTATTGATGGAGATAAAAGGGAAATTATTGAGAGACCTCTGTTGACTTCAATTTTAAGATATGTTCAATGACATTTTAAAGGCACTAAAACATACTTTTTAGAGAAAAAAAAACTACGATGAAACACGTATTTAGTGCTTTTTATTCAGACACTGACTTTTTTAATATGTGCATATCAGTGAATTGGACAACTTTCTGTGTAGTAAAAGTTACCAACCGAACTTAACATATGAACACCTACCTATACATCAAAACTATGGTGTTTTGTACTTTACAATAGTAGATATAAATAATTGTAAGATGTGAAGCCTTTCTACACAAGTTTAAGTGCGATCAGTAAAGCATTTGCGGAAGATCAAAAAGATTTGAACCTACTGACAGCCCCTGGTTGTTTGATGACTGAAATTAATCGACATGTTCTTAGGTTATTCTAATACATAGAACAAAGAGCAATTGTATGTCATATCACTTTTTTGAAGTGGTACCACGTTTATCCGGTGGGTATTAGACAGTTTCAATAAATAGGCCAAAATAAACCAGTATAATTTCATGAAAATTCGATAATAAACATTTAATCTCTCAACTTGCTGTCACCTTTAACTCTATTATATTGCACAGATATCATTATCAAGCAACGTTTCCTGATAGAAGTGCAGCAAATGTAATATATGTGTATATATGTGTAAAACTTGGGCAGCAGCAAATGTAACGCAGTTCAAGAACATGATATCATGGATAATAATATGTACACCAGGAAAAAGTTTTTTAATGCAAAATTTCACTTAAATTAAAAAGCATAAAGAAAAATTCAACTTCTCATTAAACCGCCATAGCAATGGACTACATTGTTAGTATGCTATACACCGGCGGCCTGTTTAAATCAGTGGGCTACTAGAATTTCCATCCATCGAAATGCTTTAACTCTTCTGCATTTTTTTTATTGTTTTAATAGTGCAATTATATTAAATGGCCAATACATAAACTACTGCTGGTATACAATTAGTTTCCCACTACTATACGCTATGTAATTCTTGAAAGAATCGAAGAAAAAACGCTGCAGAATTCGTTTTTCAAACGTTTGTTTGTAAGTATTAGATTTGTTTTTACGAGTTTGACCACGGACTGATATCAGTTAGAGAACCATGGAAAACCTGGGAAGGAGTACTGGACAGTTGTTTCATCCTAGTTTGGGAATCATCGGCAGTACGCACCCACCGCCAGGGTTCGAACCCAGGACCGTCCGGTTACAAGGCAAGCTCGTAGGTTATTCAGCCACTGGGAGCTGATTCAATGGCCAACACATGAATTCTAACTCCTACTAGTGGATGCCTATTGCCGATGATTCCCAAACTAGGAAGAAACAGTTGTCCAGTACTCCTTGCTGGTTTTCAATGGTTATCTAACTGTGATATCAATGCGTGGTCAAACTTGTAAAACAAAAGAATTCGTTTTCTCTTGATATGCAACAACACTACGACAAATGATATACTTCAGATTATTGCTTTTTCATATGTAAATTCTGTATGAAGAGGGAATATTTTGGAACTAAATACGCTGAAAATTTCTGTAATATATGTTCACATATTGTCTAAATAAAGTTTTACTAGTATTATTGTCATTACAATTAGCGGAGATATGCAATGAAGTCAATCTCGAATAAATGTATCCAAATATTAGCCCTCTCATAACCGTATGCCTTTTGAATGACTTAGCAAAGTGTCGGTTACTGTCATTCATGTTGGATTCTAATATTCGACAGATCTCAACAGGGTTATCTAGGCTTCTTTACATAACTGTGGTTCAAAATCACAGAATTTTAGCGTCTACTGTTTGTTTATATGGCTAACTGGCTTTTTCTTAATGAATGCACTCCAATTAACACTAGAGCTTGACATGTATAATTCATAATTTAGTAAAATCGGTGGACAATAAGATTGACATTCTAGCAAAATATACAGCTATATATTGAACAAGATGCAAGTAATGCCGCCAAGTGGACAGAATGTAAACAATATGTTGCTAATTCGTTCAAGGCACATAAGGTAATGATAGAACTAGTATTATGGACACATTTATTCTATTGTATTTGAATGGGATGTCAGCACGTGGATTAATTTCAGTTAGACGAGTATTACCTTAGTATTAGATGAACAAATGACCATATATGTATACCAATAATTACTAAGCTTGTAAACACAGCAACGACTTTTAAATTCGGCTAATTGTAAAGATAAAAAATACGACTAACACACATTATATTTCTGGTGAAAATACACCTTGATCAATCATTGCCACAGAATATAAAACTAACAAGGCGATTTAGTACCCGATAAGTTGCACATACTATGTGTGCCTATTCAAATGTGAAAAGTTGTTTGAAGTAAATATGTTGTTAAAAGAAAGATCACAGCAGCCACATTAAGATATAGCATCAAAACATCAAGTGTACTAATTGAAGACGTAGTAAACAACAAATGACAGTTAAAAGGTCATAGGTAATTTAGTGCAGAATACACTACCGTTATGTTTGCCTATTCAAAGTTTATACCAATAAAGTTTCACTATTTTGCTTAATCTTTGTTCTCTTTTTTTTCAGTGATTTTAGACGACCTCTTGACTTTGTATATAGCCCTAACATCTTTTACTCTAGTTGTGCTATTTCAGACTTAAAATAAACAGCATGTTGCTAGGCTGTTCAAATACATTAGAATAAATGTACCCAAACACTAGTTTACTCATAATTCTGTTCTTTTTGAATGACTTAGTAAAACATGCCGTTTACTTGCAGTCGTTATTTCTTACTTCATGCATGTAAGTAAAAGACAGTAAACAGAGATGTGAGACAAAGGAACAGTAGTAACGAAGAACAATATAGTTTCATTTGAAATCCTAAGTCACAAGGAGTGGGTGCATCTGCGCTGTCATTGAGAACGATTTTGAGCCATGTCACCAATTGTCTCCAGCCTTCATTGGTTTTTACCGTCACGAGACCCCAACCAGTCAGGAAGTCTACACCTTCTTACGTGGCTGGCTTAAGCTAACTGTTGTGGGTTTCATTGACTGGTGAGGCCATGTTTTGGTTTGACCACCACTAGCTCTTTTGCATACTGACCCTATGTCAGCTAACATTGGATCGGATCTAATATTGTTAACATTTGTTAGGTAGCACTTAAATTGTAGGATAACCAGGAAACAATCCTAGTAGATTCACACACACACACACACACACACAAAGCACGACTTACATGAACTGGTTTGTTTCCATGATCCTAATATCTTGGATGACTAAGTCGAATGTTAAATACCTTGGATTATGTATAACATTTTATCTATGTTGTATTCTTGTCGATTCATTAGGACGATGCCAGCACACCTTTATCGGGACGGATCAGCACCCCCAAGTTTTGATTACTTCAAATCTCACGTAGATGCTTTCTGTGCTCAGCTGAGATCAATCGTTTGACATTTAGTTGAGTATCGAAGCCACTTCTATGTCATTATATCAAACCTATTACTCAATAACGGACTACTAAACATTTTTGGTAAATATAAATACGACTGTACAGCCTCTGAAGATGATTTCGTCGACAAAGAAAACTTTTTTTCGCTGAATTGACTTTTATTTTCTTCATGACTCACTCAATGGGTATTTTCGGTGATTTAAAACTAATCAAGAACCCCGTGACAGTGAAAGAACTTGATGTTTCCTAAGTCAAGTTTCTGTCAAGCTTGCCCTAGCGAACACGAGAGAATCAGTTTTCTGAAGAGCTGTATAGATAAGGAAGAATATCCCAAACAATACTGGAAACGTGTTCGTCGCAATTATATCAACCTTGGATTATTTATTTCCTCTGATCTTCCCACATCATATTAATTTCTAGAATGATATTACATCTATGTAAAGAAGTTAAGACAATCTGGTATCACCCACTCTCTCTCTATTGTTACAGTTTGTTAATTCTTGTATTCTATCTCTTCTAGGTTACTTAAGAATGACTTTGTTACACTACGAAGTACACTGAAAGTTGTCGATAAGGCGAGTGAAGTATCACTATGCAGATTTGTTAATACTGCTGTAAGAAAGACACTTGGACCCATGCTAGAATTTGACGAATATCGTCTTGTCGAACCTTGAGCATCCGCTTTCCGTGCACAACTCTCTTTTTGCATATCAGGTAGGATTACAAGTTAATATAGAAGACCTTATGTTTGGACGACTAAGCATAGAAACCCTATGATAACCTATTTAGCATACATTTTATGTGATGAGAAAAGTATGAGGCATGACACTCTACTAACATACTGCGAAACCCTAAGTAAACGCCTCCTTATGTTCATTCTTCCATGATTATGTTGTCGTTAATATTTTCATTTAAATTCCTTTTCTTATTGAATGATATTATGAATGTAGATACCCTGTTAATTATTGCCCTCCCTCCCGAGTTACATAGTGTAAACAGAAAATTAGATACAAGTATTGTAATACATGCTGAAAATCCCACATTGTATCAAAAATACTGTTTAAAATAAAGCCATTTTTATTATTATTTATATTATTATTATCAACAAAATGACAGTAACACCTAAAAAAAAACATTAACGATATATCAATAGTACTACTTACTTGAAATGATGACACTATGATTGAATTATTTAAATCTTTATGCTGAATCCATGCAGCCTCTGCTTGTTCACGACTCGATGAATATTCAACACTTGATTGATCCTGTAAAGGTTTTGTAGTACTATTCCGTTGCGAACGAGCCTTTCAGTGAAAAAAAAGAAAAAACAAGTGGCAAGACGGTGAACAAATCATGTATGGTTGAATTTTTCAGTATTTATTTTCAAATGGCAGTATTAACTGATCAATTGGGGTGTGTGTGTGGGGAGGGGTGGGGTGATTTCCTATGACCTTTTAGAAAAACAATTAAACTGTTCAGTTTTCATGAGAAGTTATAAAAAGTATATTCCTTGCTGACCTGTGTTTTCTACCCATATCATAATCTGGGCCCAGTTAATGAAGCAACAAAACTATGAGGGGACATTAGTCTTTGTGTCATCATTAACACCACATTGTTACCCTTTTTTCAGCCTTTCATCCATCAAGGGTTGTGTGAGTGCTGGTGAAGGATGGCCATACGCCAATCTGGGCCAACTCTGGCACAGTCGCTACGTCAACCTAACTGCCAAAGGTTCAGTTTGTAATGCTTCGGCAAGTCCAGTATTGCCCTACGCCTGCGAAGCCTGGCCTCTCCGAGCCAAAGACGCGCGGCGACTCTGCGTATTCCCTCGCCACTGTCTCCATAGAATTGCTTGCATCTGATGGCGTCATCGTACAAGTCATTCTGTAGTCCGACAGCGTGTGTTTCGATGCTGAAGAAATCACCATTTACTGAGTGATGTCATCTTGAAACACTAGCTCTGATGGGTTGGACATGTACCAGTGTGGTGAGAGCAGGCTGCTAGCCGATTGGTTGGCACTAATCTACGTTAAGGTCTAGGTCACTAATATGGGCCGTGAACAAGCCTGAGTCAACAACCAATCACAGCAAAGTTAACGTGGCAAAATATGATTCGCAGAGAGAACTCTATTTGTCAAGGAATCCCGAAACAACCAATCAGAAGCCTGCGTTTGTCTACCTAAACAACCAATCAGATGACTGCGCTTGTCTATAATAATGTAGTTGAAAGATGTATAAATACGTGTTGATTTTCATAATAAAACGATCTGTTGCCTGGCCCTTGTCTTCTGTTGTTACACCAGGAATGTCATTTCAGAGGCTTCCGTACAGGTCTCTGTTCGCTAGCTCTGGGACCGGATGAAAAAAGCAGACAGTTGGCCAGACTATGATATGGCAACGTGAGATGAAGGATATCTGTGGTAGGTTTGACATCGCTTGGTATATCACGAATCCCTGGTTGAGGTCCAAGAGATGGTTCGAACAGCAGGCTCGAAACGTTATCAGGTACGATCGAAAATTTCAATCGATGGCAAACTTGTTGAAATTTTTTTCGAAGGTTCATCAAAATCGTGTAATTATAAAGTCACACATTAATGACCAAATGTGTGTACACTGACAACAACATCCAGTGCAAGAATTGTGAATTAGTTTAGCAGTATCTACGGTTTCTTGACTGCCAACATTAATTATCCAGATGATAAATCATAACGAAAAGCATCAACCAGTTGGCAGATAAATGACATAAGATTAAAAAGCATACAGTCTGCGTATTTTATTCTGAGGCTTCAGTTAAAACAGCCTGAAAATGTTCCTTCGACAACTTGCCACTTTGGTGAATATATTCTCATGTATAATTCTTCTTTTACTCTTTACTGAATGAAGGTGGATATGTACTTCCATATGAAGTCATCAGCAATTAAGAATTCCCATGTACATACCAGAGTATGTAAAAGGGAAAGGACAGAAATATCGATATTCATATTAGGCCAAACATATTATGAACATTCTGGAACTCAATGCTGCTGCACAATATTTAACAAGCGCGATCCCCCTATACCTAAAGGACTCGGCACACATAGCGGATATATATCAACTGTCTTTACAAATACTAGAAGACATGGTAAACACCAATTGCACTTCGTTTTACAAAATGGATTATTATCGCATAACTTCATCACAATTTTTATAACAATTATTGACTTTGTTATTTTTTCTTTTTTGATCTACGGAATACAGCTCACTGCTATAATATTTTCCTACTTATTGTGATGTAATCTTGTTTCATTTAGTATGCTGCTGTGGAAAATGGTATTTTGTTGTATGCAACTTAAATCTTCAGCCAAATTCATTACAAATAACTACTTTTCTAAATTCCCATTTACGCATTTGGGAAAACACTAGATTAAGTGAAGAAATATGCATTCGTTTTCAATTAGTTCCTCATCATCGTCGCCTCTACACTAATATACAGCTTTTTGCATCAAAATGTTTTACCAAACAAGTGGTTATTTCAGTTAATCAGTTTAACGTGTAGGCGCGGTGAAATCAAGAGGTTAAAAGGTCATCATCATGTCAGTAACATGATAGCTAAGTTTTAAAAGAGAGGTGGAAATTAACTGCAGAATTCAAGATAAGTTGTTTTTTAGGCTCTTGCAGCAAGTTATTGCATAATCAAGAAATTTGTAAAAATAGCAGTGATGGTTAGGAAGAATAGGATGACTCAGAAGAGTTGCGTAAAATACAAACAAGTTTATAGAATTAACTGGAATTGTAAGAATTAACAAAGTCAAAAAAGATAGTTACAAGGGGGGGATTCAGGCAAGTTCACCGTCCAATTTCTGAACACCTCCCAACTTGGTTTGGCAAAGGTCCGAATAAAGCTATGCGCAGCTTAATACTGGTTCATCTCGTCGATACTGGACATCAAATCTATTCTAACAGAGCTTTTAAAGTTATTTATCTTATATCAGCCAACCTCTCGCATGGTCTAGAGGACGACTTTTGCATACAGCAGAGGCAATCGGAATTCGTCTGAACAAGCCGTATCTGTGTGTTTAAAAGAAATTTGTACAGCCCCTTTCTTCACCGTGGCCAACTACATAATATGTATTCGAAGTTTTTAAAAACTATTTTCCCCTCCCCTTGTAAATACCTACCTTTTAACTTTGTTAATTTTAACAATTCTAGTTAATTCTATAAACTTGTTTGTATTTTACGTAACTCTACTGAGTCATCCTATTCTTCTTAACTATCATTGGTATTTTACAAATTTCTTGACTATGTAAAAACTTGTTGCCAACGCCTAGGAAACAACATATCTCGAATACAGTAATTAATTTTCACCTCTCTTTTAAAACTTAGCTATCTTGTTATTAACATGTATTATTTAATTGTTTTGATGACCTTTTAACCTCTTGATTTCACCCCGCCTACACGTTAAATTGATTAACTGAAATAACCACTTGATTGGTAAAACATTTTGATGTGAAAATCTGTATATTAGTGTAGAGCCGATGATGAGAAATTATTTGGAGGAAGGAATATATTTCTTCATTCAGTCTGTTGTTTTTTTCTAAATTATTTGTCTTCCTTTTAACATTTCATCATTTATTACTGTTTTATAAGCTTTAATCTCCATCTGTAATTTCAATTTATTAGGATTGATGTAATTTATACGCTGTCTGTAGCAGATGCAAAGCCTCGAAGACCAAGTTAAGCTTTAAGCACCACCAACTACCAATGGAGTGCGACCGTATCAATGATCTTGAAACGCTCACTGAGTAAGTCAATAAAATCTGGCAAATAATGTTGTCATTATCAATAAAATATGCTCATCGAAGTGTTATGTTATTAAATGGGATATCTGGCAAGTTTCAGCTTAGGTTATGGTTTAAGCCAAGGACAGGCTAGGGTTACACGTTAACCTAATAAAGGCAACATTAGGGTTGGTTTGAGTTAGATTACAGTCAGTTTAGAGTTTTTTTTTTCACGTTAGGGTTATGTTCAGGAAAGATTCGGATTATTGTTAGCTTTAGAAGCCCCATGTAATCACATGCACAGAACATGTTTAAATTACTCTGTTGATATAAGAATAGAACTTGTGCACTGTGGTAGAGTATAATTCCACTGTGGATGAAATTTATTTTGATAAAGTTTCACAGTGTTATACAGTAATATTTACTGATGACCAAGTTTAGAGCACAATTTATTGCTCAGTAAACATTACTGTATAACACTATGAAACTTTATCAAAATAAATTTTACGCACAATGGAATTTATACTCTGTTGATACGTCAACCTAAAACTGAGAGCTACCCTTATCACATCTGAGAGGAAGGTATCCTCTGTAACACTTTTCTACAGTTTGTATGCGTCTTTTTCATAAACATATATGTATTCAATAAACAAAAATGCCTCTTTCATGCGATTGGTAAACAAGAGGTTATACGCTGAGAATAGCACAGCTAGTGGTGCTTAAAGTTTAACTTCACTGCCTCGAAATAAAATTAGAAAACTTTATCCTGCAACTCTTGTTTTCCCATATTTGTCCTGACAGAGATGATTATAGCCAAACACACACACGCACACACACACATTCTATGCAATAATTAGCAGGCTGCCACACAGAAGAAACTTACTTCGTTAAGATCTTCGTGTAGACCGTCTAATAGAAAGAGAAGGAATTCCAAACTGTCCTGTTGATCATTACTTGAAAATTTGGCTTGATGTTTAGCGACAGCTGACTAGACATTTAGAGAAAAAACGGAATAGGAGACATCTATTAAGCATCAGCATTTGCTTGCATACAACAACTAATACTAACTGATTGATTGAATGCCAAGAACATCAAAAAAGCATTTCAATCTAATTCAAAATGATGATATATGGAGAATGATGAAATTGTCCATTTGCCTTAGAGCTTTTACAAAGCTGTCACAAAGTAGTTTGAACAGTATTATATACGAGGATGTATTAGACGTTAGGAGTGAATAATAAATATCATTGCCACTGATTAGGTTTTGTGTTCATAAATAATCAGTAGAAGGGTGTAAATGCAACTTTAAGACTAAGATCCATGCTACATAGTGCAGAAGCCTGCACCACTGAGTTGTCCAGGTAATGGTTGAAGGTCATTAAGGCTGGAGAGATCAATGGGTAGTCAATGCAGCTGTCTGGATAAAAATTTGTACAACGAATTTACACTGTGTGGTCCTCAATTCAAAGAATACGAGGATGAAATGTGCTTGTTAACAGAATTCGATCAACCAGCACTAAATATTTACATTAATCAACAGAAGACAACCAATTCTCTAGTATAAATAAATTGTATTCTAAAGGTGCTGTCAATTAAGCTGTAGTAATAAGAATGTGATTGTAAAGAAACTGTCAACTTGTCGATTAAATTGAGTTTCACAGTGCCTTAGAGAGATTCTAACATTTAGATATGATAGAGAAGATTTGTAGCTCAGGTGGATTCTAACATTACCAGGGATAGACTAGTTAATCCATGTGACTATTATATTAAATCACCTTTTCAAATTTGTTATAAACAAGAGGTGATCAAAAAAAAAGTTGTTCTACTTGTAAGTTAATTATTTTGAGACGACTTCACTTACTTTCTTATGCAACTAGACTGTTTACTACTAACTAGTAAGTTAAATAGTATACTTATATTAGTCTGTCTGTTTTCGACATAGAACTTTGCACATATGTGCAGCAGTTCAAGTTGCCACACTCCCTCCTTGTAGCACACAAAGCAAGAGAAGAAAGTAGAAGAGATGCATAATAGAGACAGAAACAGGTGTGAGTCAAAGGAATAGTAATAACGAAGAACAATATAGTTTCATTGGAAGTCATAAGTCACAAGGAGTGTTTGCATCTGCGTTAGCCATTGAGAACGATTTTGAGCCATATCACCAGTTGTTTTCAACCATTGGCTTTTACCGTCCCGAGGACTCCAACTAGTCACGAAGTGTATACCTTCCTACGTGACTGGCTTAAACTAACTGTTGTGAGTTTCATTGACTGGTGAGACCATGTTTTGGTTTGACCACCACTAGCTCTTTTCCATACTGACCCTATGTCAGCTAACATTGCCCGTCAGTCGAGGAAGGCGATCTATGGCTAGGCATACGTATCACATGTCCTAACCATCTAAGTCGATATAATTTCACAGCCTCGTCGATGGATTCCCCCTCCTTACCTAGCACTCGACCGAAGCCTTACCTCACTATTGCTCACCTTATTATACCACTTCACACGGGAGATAAAGCGTAGGCACCTATGAGAAACGAGCCTTCTGTATCAAGGCTGAGATTTTGTCAGCGATCAACCCACTGGCGTTGACCGATGCAGCTTCCTATATAAGTGAAGTGCTCAACACGCTTTACCATTTCACTCTCTATTTCTGAGCTAGGAGTCAGTATAGGCCAGTCCTGCAGCAAGCATCATCTTACATTTGACGGGAGCGAATCGCATGCCAAACATTCGTAGATTGCAACTCAAGGTATTCAGAAAACTCTGCATTTTGTCAGCGTCCTCGCCTAGAAGGACTATATCATCTGCATGCTCGAAGTCAACGAGATTATTCCCTGGTAGCAAGTCAGTCCCTGAGTCTCTGAAGTGAGTTAGGGTTAAGTCCATTAGTAACATCTATGATGAAATTGAATAGAAATGGGGATAGTAGGCATCCCTGATGGACACCACTAGTCATCATCACTTCAGATGACAACTCGCTGACTGCATGAGTTCAAGTAGAGTGCCTTGATCAGTGCGATGTATTTTCTCGGCATTCCCTTTACAGCCAAGCATCGCCAGAGTACCTCTCGGTCGACAGAATCGAATTCCGCCTTTAGGTCAAGAAATATAATGATGGTTGGACGCCGCCGGTAAGTATGCCCATTTTCCAAAATCTGTTGAAGATGAAGATCTTCCTTGCACTACTACTAAACTGGCCTCTATGATCTATTGCCAGTCAGATTTGAACATCGAACTTCAGGCTGTAAACTCTTAGTTACAGTGAAAGGTAGGCTCGTTGGTCAAACCCCCTTTTATTCAGGATTTAGATTTACTAGCAGCTAAGTAAACTAGGCCACGTTTAGGAGTGAATCGACTGGGAATTAAACACGGAGCATGTGTGTGTGTGGTTAGCGAGCATATCATCATAGAACCATTGATACAAAGAATGTAGTGAAATGGCAATTTAATACTAAACGTCTGTAGGATTCATCACTCTAAGATATAGTCCAGGGTATACCTTTATTAATCTGAAACGCAAGCTTAGTACAGTACAGTACACTAAGTGAAGTGATAATAAAGGGGAATTTAAAAAACCTAAGAGAATGAAGAAAAGCATCTACTTATTGGAACATATGCATGCAAACGTTCAATACTTGCCAAAACTTTATTGTGTGAAGAGATAAGGAAGCTCATGTATGATTGTCATATCTGATAATATCTACAGCCAATGAGTCACATAATTTACAGAACACCATCCAATATCGCATGATTTAGCAACAAACAACACACCCATCTGTAATCTTAATTACTATACGACAGACTGATTAACTTATCCATTTTGCCAGACCAGTTTTTCATTGTTTCCAGCGGTGAACGGTATAGACACGTGGGGATTATAATTATTAAATATGTACCAGTGCTTCGACATGACAACAGTTATTGACTAGTTACAGTATTTCATCATGAGCTGACATTAGTTAGAGAACACCTGAATATCAATGAGATGCTCACTAGCGACTTGCCCTTTTCAGGTAGGTAGTTACCTGGAGTTCTAATGGGAAGTCGGGTGCAGCAGGTCGGGTGTGAGGACAAATACTCGCCGAAGACATTGGCTAGCGGTTGCGCTATATCGCGAATTGGTAGAAGTTAGTCCCAGGTTTTCCAGTGGTTCTCTAACTAATGTCAGCTCGTGATGAAATCCTGTAACCAATCAACCAAATCCCTACAAACCAATACTTGAGTTATTGACTAATTGACTACCTCTAGTATATAACAACGTAAATCACCGGATATCAAGATAAGGTACACGATTCGTGCAAGGGATATCTGTGATGAGATAAGAAAATAAATTTAAACTTTGATCAGCTTTCTCCACCACCACTTCCTTACTTCTATTGTGATACTACTTGAACGACGAAAAAAAACAACTGTCGATTCCCAGGCTCAAAATATCAAATCTTATAAATCTGATAATGTATTTCAAAAATATTAAAAGTTGAAATCCATGTTAAGCGGACTAGATTTGAAATCCACTGGCTAAAAGTTAGCTGAAATCGCGAATCGACAGAAGTGAACATATATGGGCCATTACATTCCATCCCAATGGTTAAATGGTCAACGAGCCCGCCTCATAACCTGAAAGTCCCTGGTTGCGTACTGCAGAATAGTCTCGTACTCTCTCTCTCTCTCTCTGATTTCCAATGGTTCTCTAACTGATATCAATCCATGATCTAAGTAACGAAATCGAATGTCAAATCAATGAGTAGGACATTCATGAAACGTGTGCACATTCATCATTGTAGAGACTTAACCTCATATAAGCATTTAAATTATTAACATACTGTTTGTAGAATCATGACCGTAACTGACGAATACAATTTTAATAATATTAATAATAATAATTTGCTTTATTCCGAAAAAGTACTTGTGATACAGAATGGAATTCTCAGAATTTTTCTACAGTATTGCATCCAGTTAGTACATTAACAATAAATAAAATTCTACATAGATTAAGGGTAATCTCAGTTAGTTTTGACAAAACATATTGGGATGTCGGTAGCAAGCCAAAATTGAAGTGTTTGAAGGTGTTAGAAAAGTAGATGCTAGCATATCTACTGGCGTAAGCGGTAACAAAAAGTTCGAGTTATACAGAGTTTGAAAGAACGAAGAAGAATGTTTCAAGTTGAGTTTGCGAGGAAGAAAGAAACAAAGCAGCACATAACAGAAAAAAGAGACAGAAAAGGAAAAGAGAAAAAGTAAACGTTGTACCTATTAGTGATATGAGTTGGAAAGACAAAATCCAATTGTTCTACTAACTATTTAATAAGTTATAGGTATCACGCCTAATGCTTTCTTTTTCACACAGAACACGAGCTAAGTAGGATATGGTTGAGTTTTTGTACTTACTAGTGCGAGCATATTGTTTTTTCTATATAGGCTTCTGGTTTAGCCTGATGAGATACAAGGGGAGAGTTTTGAATGAAGAGGGTATTGTGAGTTAGATAAAATAGATTTAGCCCATTTTTCATATGAGTTCAAGTGCCTGTCGACCAGGATATTACCAAGCTGGTTAAGTGCCACGTAGCTTGCCTTGCTGACAACCTTTAACATCCTGCGTAATAAGATATAGTCTTTCTTCAGTAGCCCAGGAAAAACTAAGGGGGAACAATAAAGAATGATAGGCAGGATGCAGAAGTTTGGTTATTCCAGAATGTCTTAACTTCTTGATGCAGAAGGTAAGACGGAATATTTTCTTAGAAATCATCAAGATATGAGACGACCAGGAAAGATCAGCAGATAGAATGACACCTAGGTGTTTAATTTCCGACTTGGTTTCTATTTCAGTGCCATCAATGTTGCACACCTCGTGAGTGCTAACCAGTTTGTTTATGTTTGGCATTCGGAGGGGTTTAAGGTAAGACCGTTTTGCTGAAAAAATTCACGCTTTCCCCAAAATTAAAATAATAGATGAAGGAAAATTGCAACAGCACAGACAACACTTTAGTACGTAAAAATCAAACTTAAACAATGAAAGCTAACAGGTAAACAAACATTTTACTTACTCTAAATTTATGCAATTCACTATCCTGATTTGGTCGATTATATAAGGCTGAGAGTAGTACTTCAAAATGCTTCACAATTTCTCCTCCATAACCAAGAGAATTAGTAACTACAGCTTTACGTTCATGAAAACCATCAAGGAAGTAGTGAACTAATGCACGGGTATGGGATAAACACTGTACTACAGAATTCATATAGCATGTATTCCCAAGATTGCGTAAACCATTTGTACGTGTTTGATGGATAGCCAAAGTTGTGCATACAGTAGAGTTAACTAAAGAAAAATAAAGAAGAAAAATACGTCAAGATGGAGCAATAGCGATCATAAGCATGCATGTAATTAAAAGTTAGTGTAGCTATCAACGAAATTAAATGCATATCCATAACGATGTAGATACTTACTTACCTATAACAAATAAAATACTATAATAATTAACCACACTAGAATAAAGACGATGACCACCTGGTGAGTTAATAAACGCTACACATTTACACAGGTCCACACTAATACTAATACTACCCTTCTAGAGTCAAATGTGTTGCGGAAATCGATTTTAAAAACAAATATATATATATCTATTGAAAAATCATGTGCCAAAAAAAATCTATTAAACTTCAGTACAACACATTTAACAATAAGTGCATATATATATGACCATTTCATTTAGTTTGACGTTTCAACTTACGTAATAATACTAGGACAATGAAAATAGAGGAGACAACAAAATAAACAATAGATATAAGTGAAACTGAAGTACGGTAAGACGTAAGCTTTGTAATAAATGCGTGAAGAGAGATTACGTGTCATAAAATGTAAAGTTTGTTCTTTCTGACGACTCGACATTTGCCTATCCTAAGGTATAATACTTGGCTGATTAAAATGATTGGATATTACTATATATATATATATATATATATATATATATATATATATATATTACATTATTATATTTTATTGGATCGGGTCCCAGTGACTAAATGGTCTACTAGCTCGCCTTATAACCAGAAGATCCTGGGTTTGAACCCTTGTGGGTGCGTACTGATGACGAGCCCCAAATAAGGACGAAACAGCTGTCCAGTTTTCCAATAGTTCTCTAACTAATGTCAGCTCACGATGAAATCAAATCAATCAAAGTCCCATAGACCAATGCTTGAATATTGTTACATCTATTTTACCCTACATGGTTAAAACATCGTCATACATTATAATATAGTATAGTGTTTTTGCAACACACAACACACGATATGCTGTGTGGTGCCTCAGAGACAGAAGCGTGGAACGAGCAACCAAGTAGGAACTATATCTTCTTTGTGATGTGTAAGGTTCTCATGAACCACATCAGGCCCATCAATAGAGTAAACAACTCTTGTATTAAAATAATTGCTAAAACTACCGACCGATAGGGCGTATAACAGCAGAAGATAGAGACCGATTTTGAATATATTGGTGGGCAAGTGAGGCAGGGGAACGTAACAAAACACCAAGGAAGGCATTCATCATTCAATAGGGAAGCTGATAAATGATGAGTAGGGACTAGTTCCTACTTGGTGGTTATTCGTCTCATCCTTCTTTATTCCTTAATAACTAATCGTCTGCGAGTGACCATAGCTTTTATCACATGTTTTGTATTGTACAGACCAAATAATATCATCGCACAGCATTTGAATTATTCTGACAGTTAGCTACTTAGGATAAAGCATTTCACAACATGGAAGTCATTCATTAATAGAGATGAAACTTCCTCAGAATTATTCTTTCGACACCCTATAATCAGATAAACCTTTTGCTCCACCGATCGCTAGAACAACTGAAGGAATAACGACTTTCCTGCCAGCTAGATTAACTACAGGTGTAACAACAGAAGACAAGGGCTGGCAACAGATCGTTTTATTACGAAAATCAACACGTATTTATATATATTTTATGTGCATTAATAAGGCTTATGCAAGCAGAAAAAGGCAGTCTTCTGATTGGTTGTTTCTCGGAAGTTAAGCAGACAAACACAGTCTTATGATTGGTTGCTTTCGATATTTCTCGGAAAGTAGAGCCATCTATCTGCGAATCATATTTGTCCACATTTAAGTTTGCTGTGATTGGTTGTTGAAACAGCCTTGTTCATATTTTCTCACGGCCCATATTAGTGACCTAGAAATTAACGTAGATTAGTGTCAACCAATCGGCTAGCAGCCTGCTCTCACCACACTCGTCCCCCCGTCAAATAGCTTCGTGCGCAGACGTTCCGACCTTCTGGGTGCTACATCCTCTAGTTGAGGATTGTTACTGACCGGCTTGTCCCACTGTACCCATCTTTGGAGCTGACTGGCGTTAACTCGTTTCTGTTTATCACCTCTTCGGATGGTATATACTTGACCCCGTCTTTTTGTGATTGTGTATGGTCCTTCCCACTTTGGAAGGAGTTTCCGTGAACCTAGCCCGATGTGTTAGTAAAATCAGTGGAAGCTCCGTTTCCCAGTTCCCGCCCTTCGAGGCCAGCCACTCCTTCAGTGTACGGTTGTTTCTCTCCGTTAGGCCATTCGTTTGTGGATGGTATGGGGTCGTTCTGATCCTCTTGATGCCCAGCTGTTGCAAACGGGAAGTAAACTCTTCACTCTCGAAACAGGGACCTTGGTCTGTCAGTATTGTCTTCGGTACGCCGTGGTCTGCAACAATGTGTCTAACTACTGCATCTGTCACGGTTCTTGCACGTTGGTCTGGGATTGCTACGGCGTCTACCCATCGTGTCGCGTGTTCCGTCATCACCAAGAGGTACTGATTACCATTGGATGTCTGAGGAAATGGACCCATGACATCTACGGACCACAAGTCACCTATCGCGGTAACTGGAATCGACTGAAGTGGTGGTCGTATATACCGGTCACCTTTCATCAGCTGGCACCGTGGACATCCAAGTACGTATCTTGCTACGTCTTCTCTCATACCTGGCCAGTACATACTTTGTCTTAGGAGGTCGGTCGTTCTGGCCACGCCTGTATGCGCTAGCTGGTGACATTCTTCTATCATGTCGTGGCGCGACGATTGAGGTATGACAGCCAGCCAGCTTCCGTCGTTCTCTCGCCAGGTCAGAGTCCCGTAGGCATTCACTCTGAGTCGATCCCTCTGTCTGAGTAGTGTGGTTAGCTCCTTACTCGCCGTAGTTTGATCCACTTCTATTCCGTTGGTGATCACCTGTATTACTGTATTCAGCGTATCGTCCAACCTCTGCCTACGTGCAAGTCTTAGTGGGTCTTGTTCTACTGCATGCACTCCGTAAGCGACCTCGGGCAACTCAGACTCATCTTCTGGTCTCGATAACAAATCTGCCAAGACATTTTCACTTCCAGGAACGTGTGAGATCGTAAAATCGTACTCCTGAAGACGCAACATCCACCGTGACAACTTCCCCCGTGGGTCTCTCGCTGTCTTCAAAAATTGTAGCGGCTTATGATCAGTTTCGATGTGGAACCGCCGGCCGAGTAAATAAGGTCTCCATTTGTCGACTGCCCATACCATTGCTAAACATTCTTTCTCTATCGTTGAATACTTTCTCTCTGTGAGGGTCAAAACCCTACTGGCATACTCAACGATTCCCTCGTCCTGTCTTAGGACCGCACCTATAGCGTAGTCACTGGCATCTGTGCACACTGTGAACTGTCTTCCTGGCACAGGTAGTTTTAGCGTCATTTGTTGGTGGTCGAGCAGCTGTTTAATTCTGTCGAATGTCCTCTGCGATTCTTCCGACCAAACAAACTTTGGCTCACCTAGTAGCCTGTATAGAGGGGCTGCTATCTCATTGAAGTTCTTCACGAAGCGACTATAAAACGCTGCTCTACCCAAGAATTGTCTCAGTTTTCTCTTTGAATTCGGGGCTGGAATCGTTTTAATCGTCAAAATTTTCTCCGGCAGTGGTTTAATCTCACCATTTCCCACTTTATGTCCCAACAGAGTAACATTCTTTTTGGCTATCTGAGACTTGGTTTTGTTGACGCGTAGTCCAAACTCTTCGATGCGTCGCAGCACGGCTTCTACATGGTTGACGTGATCGTTTTCGTTTTGACTGTATATGACGAGATCATCACCATAAACCTCCACGTTTTTCAAGTTCCTAAGTAATAGCTTCATCAGTCGTCTGAACGTAAACGGTGCACCTGCTAGTCCAAACGGCATGCGTTTAAATCGATATTGTGTCTGACCCACGATGAAAGCCGTCTTATCTCTATCACCTTGTTTTATCGGTATCTGCCAGTATCCTGAGCGAAGATCGAGAACCGAAAACACATTCGCACCTTGTAGGCGATCTAAAGTTTCTACCACTGTTGGCATGGCACACGGTCTTAACTCTGTCATACTGTTTAACTGTCGAAAATCAACACAGAATCTATACTTCCCATTCGCTTTTTTTACTAACAGCACTGGAGAGTTGTACGGGCTATCAGCTTCCTCAATAATGTCATCTTTTAACATCTCTTGCACTTGTCGCTCCACTTCGCCTTCCAGATGACATGGAACTCTTCGCGTTAAAAATGACCTTACTTTCGGATCACTTAACGGAATTTCATGATTCACCTTATCGCAATAACCGTATGGGTCGCCATCTCCAGTGAACAGATGATCGTATTTATTAATTAACTCTGTCACATTGTGTACCGTCGACAGCTTAATCGCTGCTATCTCGCTGGTCTCATACATGTTGATATGCCCGTATTTCGTGATCACCACGTTCGCTTGCGTGTCGATTATTGCACCAATCTCACGCAGAAAATCCGCTCCTAATATCGTTCGCTGTAGTTCGGGTACAACAATGAAAGGAAACGTCACCTCGCAGCCACCAACAACGACCGTACAGTTCGATCTACCCGTGATACGCAACACATACCCGCCTACTGTTTGTACTGTCAATGAACACGGACTAACACTCTTACATAAATTCTTATCTATTAACGACACGGCCGCCCCTGTATCTATCAAACATACTACTTCTCGATCATTCACTCGCAACTTCGAATACAGAGCCCCTTTCTCAATAGCCCCCACTAAATCTAGGTTCATACGAAAGAAAGAACAAGCATTATACCGTCTGAAATTTTTTCTTTTTCGCCTTTCTGGGCAGTATCTTCTCCAGTGTCCCGGCTTACCGCATTCAAAACACCGGTCTTTTCTATCAGCCAACTTTAACGCCGCCACTTCCCGCTGCAATGCTTCAATTTTCTGCTCATATTCGTTTGGTTTTGGTTGGTCTATAGCGGCTACCGTTGTGCTCAGCAGCTGTCTGGTCACCTTCGCCAGCTCACTAATATCCATCGGCTGCGTTGCGTTAACCAGTTGTAATCGCTGAGAAATGTGGTCTGGGACACTCTCGATGAATTGGGAAGACAGTAACTGCGCTTCTGATTCTTCATCTAAAGTGGGAAGCGCGCGTCGAAGTAGATTAGTCAGTTTCACCGCCAACACTAGCGGGTCTCCATCAGGTCCAAGCTTCATTGACCGGAACTGCTGCATTGCTAGCTGTCTGTCTGTTTCGCTGTCAAACTCGGACACTAGTCGTTCAACCAATTTCTTCCAAGACGCTGTGCCATTTGACCTGTCTACGCTGTCATATGCAGCCTTCGCTCGGCCTCTCAACAGCGTCCCCAGGACAACTGCCTTCGCCGCCTGCTCCTTGACACCCACCAGCTCAGCAACGGCCTCGAAGTCACGTAAGAAGCTCCGTATGTCTCCTTCTTCAAACGCAGCTGGCCACGGGATCTTCATCTTTTTGGAGGCAGCGACACCAAATGTAACAACAGAAGACAAGGGCTGGCAACAGATCGTTTTATTACGAAAATCAACACGTATTTATATATATTTTATGTGCATTAATAAGGCTTATGCAAGCAGAAAAAGGCAGTCTTCTGATTGGTTGTTTCTCGGAAGTTAAGCAGACAAACACAGTCTTATGATTGGTTGCTTTCGATATTTCTCGGAAAGTAGAGCCATCTATCTGCGAATCATATTTGTCCACATTTAAGTTTGCTGTGATTGGTTGTTGAAACAGCCTTGTTCATATTTTCTCACGGCCCATATTAGTGACCTAGACATTAACGTAGATTAGTGTCAACCAATCGGCTAGCAGCCTGCTCTCACCACACAGGTTGAAGAAGTGATACATATTGCAGGCAATCTCTAGTTTGCAATAGTAATGGACATCATAGGTGGTTGTTTTATCAATGATACCCTTTCTAATCCAAATCTATTTAGACAGCACATTTACAAGACTGAATATTATTGTGTAGTTAAGAAGGAATTGTAAATTTAAGATAAGCTTAGTTATGTATCTTAATTTAGTGTCCTCACTTTCAATAAGGCTTCGAATACTCACAAACAGTTGACTTTATTGTACTGTTCATATTTGATGAAAGCATAATGTGAGCAAAGGTAAGACAGAGATTTAAGTAGAGACAAGATTGCAAAGTGACTGGCATTTGGTTAAAACAGAAGGCACCGCTTTCTTAGAAACGAAATGTTGACTAAATTAGCTTCAGACCAGTAAAGCGTTAGCACTGATAGAACAAAAAGTGATATCAATACGTAACGTTTCTGACTGTTGGTTTGAGCAGTATAGGCAAGTATAGGTTTATAATCGGGAATCTTTGATCTGCAGACTCCGAGTAAAGTGACTTTGAACTGATTACAATAACATCCATCGTCCTTGTGATATCACATTTTAGTCTGGTCAAAGGTTACTCCATTTTTTATGACTTCCGACAACTTTAATATTATACTCTTTCCAAATGTTTTTGCCTTCTATCCTAGTGTGGTGAGAGCTGGCTGTTAGCCAAAATTGGTGGACAGTAATTTACGTCAATGTGTCTGTCCCAAATACTGGTCGTGAGAAAAATAAGAACAAAGTCTGATTCAGCAGCCAACCACAGCAGACTTTGCGTGGGCAGATACAGTTAACATATAGATGATCTGATATATTCAAGAAACAGCCAAAAAGAGATGCAAGGTTAACTTTCTGTGAGAAACAACCAATCAGAAGACTGTATTTGTTTGCTTGAATAATGTATAGTAATGTACATGAAAATCTATAAGTATATGTTGATTTCCTTAATAAAGGATCTGTTTCCTGGCCTTTGTCTTCTGTTATTACATTTGGTGTCGCTGCCAACCGACAAATGGAAAGCCTATGAACTGCAGTTTTTGATGGAGACATTTGCATCTTCGGGCAGGACGTCGAGGCTTCTGCGCAGTCAAGTGACGTTCAAGATCTGTCAGCGATGAGGCTTTTACTTGGGACGCTGCTGGGAGGCTGGGAGAAAGCAGCATATGAAAGTGTAAATCGAAGTACTGACGAATGTGCGACAGGGTCAGGAAAACAGTTTCCACAGTGGGAAGGACCACATATGGTCACGTTGAGATTGGGTTACGCAGACACTATCGCAATGGTAAACAAAGAGAAACAGGTGAACATCAGCAAGTGCTGAGATTCCAGACAGCAGGACAAACGAGCAAAGCCCCAAGAACCAAGAAGACCGAACCAACTTCAGTCGGAAGTCTTTGACGGGGAGACGAGTGTGATGAGAGCTGGCTGTTAGCCAAAATTGGTGGACAGTAATTTACGTCGATGTCTATGTCCCCAATATTGGTCGTGAGAAAAATGAGAACAAAGGCCTTGCGTAGGCGGATACAGTTAACATATAGATGATCTGATATTCAAGAAACAGTTACAAAGAGATGCAAGGTTAACTTTCTGTGAGAAACAACCAGTCAGAAGACTGTGTTTTTCGGCTAACGATAATCTATAATAATGTACATGAAAATTTATAAATATGTGTTGATTTTCTTAATAAAAAACGATCTGTTACCCGACTTTTGTTTTCTGTTGTTACACTAGTACCTTTCAACTGGTGAGGGAGTGTAACTAGTAGCAAACAGGTTGAAAATAACCTAATCGTTTTTAGGTGTTGAGATGCAAACGAAGTGTAGAGTCCTCTGAACATAATGTTTGTGAAAAGATAGAGTAATGTGGAAAGAATGAATTCATTATAATTATATTTTAACGGTGCGTCGGTGTTTCAGTGGCAGAATGCTTGCCAACCATGCATATTAGTCTGGGCTTGATTCCTGATTGATGCACCCTTAAACCTCACTTAGTCAGTGAATAGGAAAGGTAGTGTATGAGGCTAGGAACTTCATCTGGTAAAAAAACATTGCTAGAGAAACTCTAAAGTTCACGCTTGAAGTCTTATGTTCCACTCGGAGGGTAAAGGAGTGAAACAAAATATTTTAACTGTTTGTTTACACAAAAACGCTAAGTCTCTTGATTTTGGTAGGTTCGCTGGAAATATCACCAAGGTCTTCTGAACGTCTTGACCGAATGTCTAAATATGTTTAGCATGAGATGCGCCTTTGTCGAACATAAAACTATCCTACACCGACTACTAGTTTAAAAATGAGGAATAAAATGATTGAAGCTGTTGACATCTCCACTTATTCGGGAGTTGCATGGACTAGTCTGCTAAGTGCGTATGTGATAGGCTTGCTAAATAAATGCCAATTTGCACCATCTTTGTTGAAACCCATGTACTTGTTAAAGAGTAAATGCTGTAGGCAGCGTTCGGCACTACTTTATTTCATAACTGAGACACCGGAAATATGGAATAAACTAAGAGCTTTCGAACATATTCACTTATGTCTAAAACCTCATGCTAGATGGAGCAACTTGTTGTAAGTGATAATCCCGTTATATTATAGAGTAGTAGGTGAACAGGAACAGTCAACCAACCTAGTTAGGAAGGTCTGTCCAGTGAGGTGGCAAGCACACCGCCCCAAACATACCGAAGCACCACCTTTCTAGTCTAATAAGATGACAAAATTAGAAGTTCTAACTAATAATATGCTATTCATTTCCTTTATGAAATATTCCGTTAAATGCATACAACACAGATTTATTAAACAAACGCTTCTTACCCTGATTATTCAATACATCTGGTTGTACATATGTTAGAGATGATTGAGAATTTACTAAATTTATTGGTTTACTTTCAGGCGCAGGAATATTTGGCACTGGTGGTATTGAAGCATTAATCGTCGAAGCAGTTAATGAAACTCTCCATGGATCCACGTGCGAATCGACTGGTTTATACATTCTATTGTCAGAGTATTGTTCAGAATATTTTCGTGGTAACGGTCTATCAGTGTAGGATTTTTCACGTAAATCACTATACATACGGGATTCTTCATCTGAATGTTCAGTGGATAGTTTCTAGAAAAAATAATCGAACAAAAGGAGAAAATATGAATTGGAATATGAACTTTTATCTTGATAATTCCCTGAGATTTCTCATTCATTTTTATCAGATGGCTCTCAGAGTGAAACAATCATATTTATTGAAGCGCGATTCAAACAAAACTTATCCTGTACAATCGAATAAAAGGTTATTTAACAATTTTAAAAATATGTTTATAAAATTCTAATGAATTTCTTTCATTTTTCAGATATCTAGAAGAATTCAAGCACCATTATTATTATTATTAATGTGACACTTTCACTTATCAATCACTTTTCAGGATTGAACTAAGCTGAGGTATGACTATTGCGTTTGAGCTGTTGTCTGTGATAGCTTAACATGTTTCGCCTTACTGCTTTAGCTTTCCATCTCTTATGCAGAATTTCTTCGTCTCTTGAGTTCCAAGTGGAACAGATGCCCATAGGCTTTGCAGCTTCAGTTACGGAGCTGTTTATACAGGGTGGAGTTGTTAGCCTCACACACAGCCTTCCCTCTTTTCCAGGCTAGTAAAGCAGGAGAGAGGTTTAGGAATATACGTAAGTCGGGAATTAAACCTGCACCTCCTTGAAAAGCTGACAAGCATGTTAACATTGAACCATCGAGGCACATTGTATAGGATTATGAAAAATTAACTTATTTTGTACGATAGATTTTATGAAACTGAACACTTGTCAAGACATATTATTTGAGTGGGTTAATGGGCTTAGATACCACCTGAGTTTTCTTTCTTTATTCTTTAATGAGAACCATATGTGACATTTCCAAGGTGATCAACCTGCTGTGCAGACAGACCACTAACACAGACATAAGAGACTAAAGCGGATGGATATGTAACACGAACAGAATTTTGTCTACTTTATGTGTACATTCTGATTTCTTATTGTTTCGCTTTGCTGGACTAAAGTAGTCAAATTTTGTTGACAAATGATAGGCGTGGGAGATTGATTTAGTAATGTCGTCAAGGCAAATATCTGTATCTACTTGACAGCACCTAACTGGCTATGTTAAGATGTAGACTCTGGGTGTTATCAGGCAGATAGAATAACTGAATGCTTGCGAATTCGAAAGTCCCCATAACGACTTGTTGAGATGACAGGGGTTCGAGTTTCTCACAGAAAATGACTTCTCATATTGTTATAAATACAGCTTAGTGATAAATACCAATATGTACGAATGCTAAGTATGCAAAGCGGGACTGTTAATTCCCTTTCCTAACATTTATTTGCGTCGGTAGCACAGCGGTTAGGACGCTCGCCAACCATGCACATGGTTCGATCCCCGGCCACAGACGCACTCCTTTACCTCACCAAGCCAGAAATAATGTTGGTAAAGAGGAAAGGCTGGGCATGAGGCTACCAACCCCAACCTGTAAAAATAATCACCACTGTTACAGAAACTTCAAGCCACTAGCTTGAAGCCCTAAGTTCCACTAGGAACGTGAAGGAAAAATAACATTTATGGGATAACGCCTACTCTGAGAGCTATGAATAAAAAAGCCTGATTCCTTCAGTATTAGCCGGATAACTGTACCATACACCTGAACATATATATATATATATATATAACTTTTTTATTTGTCTATGAGTTTATTACTTGAAGAATAACTTACCCAAACTTTTTCACCTCTGTTTTCATCGCCTCTCACTGAATCAGACAGTACAATATGATTCGATGTTACACTTGTTGGACTAAAATAATGAGGGGGAAAGATGAAATAATTAACAATCAGAGATACTTTTTCGGATATACAACTTTTGTGCCTTAATGCTAATAATCACTTAGTGTGAGTGGTACATTTTACTGAAATCTGTTCTCAAATAACGCTTTTTTAAATAGAAAACCATGAAAGGAATAAACAGTTAGATGAAATCTATGTAAAGATCAGTGAACTATGTCTTAAATACAAGAATGTAGATATTTTTGTGTCTAATACCTTTGACTTTCAAAGAATATATCATAGATTAGAACTGTATTCCACTTCCCTTGTCCCCAGTTATAGGAAGCAGGTTTTTTTCACATTTTCAGCTGCAGGCCACACTTACTGTTTGATGACTGGTAGTATAACCCAGTTGCCCAAACAACTGGTATTCGAACTCAGAACCACATGGCTGAAGATGAAATGCTTAAGTTATAAAACACTGAATAACTCAGATGTGTATATCTGAAATAAATGCTAGGTAACTGACCAAGATTGGGCTTTGAATAACCATAATGACTACGGAAATAGCAAATTAGATACACTTATAACCAACAAAACGATAAAAACTCAAATTGGCAAGTAAGTAACAAAACTATCAGATCGTATATGTTTTACGACGAAGCAGTTAACAGATTTTATATGTGGTATATGTATATATTTAAGGGAAGAACGGCAAAAGTATGCCAGTGAATACAAGAAGAAAACTGCACCGAAAACAATTTAGAAAAAGTAAACTGAGTTTTCGGATTGAAGCCAAGCTTCATATACCTATCTCTTTTCGGGAATTCGAATAAAGTGAAAACAAGGATTGAATTGGTTACAGCATTTCATCATGAGCTGACATTGGTTAGAGAACCATTGGAAAACCTGCATGGAGTACTGGACAGCTGTTTCGCCCCAGTTTGGGACTCTTCGTCATTAAGCACCCACTGAGGATCAAAGCCAGGACCTTCTGATTACAAGGCTGGGGAGCTCGTAGACCATTAAGCCACTGGGACCCGATGCAATGGCCAGTCCATGAATTCTAACTTCTACCAATTCACGACATATCGCGAACGCCAGTCAATGTCTTCGGTGGGTATTTGTCCCCACACTCGACCTGATGCACCCTACTGGTCACGACCTCTCACTAGAATTGACAGAAAAAAAGCTAGCCTATAACCAGTAGTAGATGACGATTCATATTATATCAGATACATTACTGTTCAGCTACCATCTAACAGAAGTTCTCCAATATAGTTATAACTGTAAAGTTAAATTTTGAGTTAATAAAGTCTGAAGAAACCTTATGGAGACGCTGACAATTAAAAAGGAAGACCCACTGGAAAAAATAATTCAACACCTAGTGCACAATTTCAACGTCCATATCGTTTTCTGGATCGGTACTAAACGACAATACAGCACAGTTCCGCACTATGTAAGTTTATTTCATATTACACAGTGATACAGTTGCAACGGTAGAAGACAAGACACTTGGTAACGGAATGTGTGTATTAGAAGTTTGATATCGCTACATAGCCAAACTATGTACAGCTTATCTGCAAATCGTCACTTGCAGTGGTCTTCCGTGTTGTGTTACTTCTGTCCTTCCCTCATACTGTGTTTCTTTGTCTTCTTTTCATGTCTCCCATGTTTTGCCATAACACTGAACCATTTGCTTTCTTTGACGTAAAATCTATCTCTCCGCTATTTTATATTTTTATAGAGATGAAGTGTTTGTTTACATACTACTGATAAATCTTATTAGCAGTAATCCATGCCACACGGTGTTATTAATAACTAGATGACGTTTTGAGTACAGCATTAGACTGCTGATAATTACATCATTGTGATCGCTACTATGCATTTAAATCCTACCGAAATGCCCAAATTCTACCCTCACATCAACAGATCATAATGTTTTAGACGACTATCAAAATGATGACAAGATCACAGGAGAGAGATGACAAAAACTGGATAATTTCCCACTAAACCTAGACCAGGTGCATCGTCGGTGGTCCAGTGGTAGAATGCCAACCAACAACCCCACACGTGATCCGGGGTACGATTCCAAGTCGACCAACTCTAAAAGCTTGTCAGTGGCTCCAGTATGTCTGTCTGTTTTCGACATAGAACTTTGCACCGATGTGCACCAGTTCAAGTCGCCACACTCCCTCCTTGTAGCACACAAAGCAAGAGAAGAAAGTACAAGAAATGCATAATAGAGACGGTAAACAGAGGTGTGAGACAAAGGAATAGAAGAAACGAAGAAGAATATAGTTTCATTGGAAATCATAAGTCATAAGGAGTGTTTGCATCTGCACCAGCCATTGAGAACGATTTTGAGCCATATCACAAATTGTTTCCAACCATTGGTTTTTACCGTCCCGAGGACCCCGACCAGTCAGGAAGTCTACACCTTCCTACATGGCTTAAACTAACTGTTGTGGGTTTCATTGACTGGTGAGGCCATGTTTTGGTTTGACCACCACTAGCTCTTTTCCAGCCTGACCCTATGTCAGCTAACATTGCCCGTCAGTCGAGGAAGGAGATCGATGACTAGGCATACGTATCACATGTCCTAACCATCTCAGTCGATGCAATTTCACAGCCTCGTCGATGGATTTCCCCTCCTTAACTAGTACCCGACCTATACCTAACCTCAATATTACTCACCTTATTATACCACTTCACACGGGAGATAGAACGCATACATCTATGATCAAAGACAGCTAGCCAGGTTTTTCATGTCTTTCACTCTCAATGGCCCGGTATCACAGCCAGCCATAAAGGAGGACAGAGCGGACTGATGAGCAGTACACCCGCCCTTTGGTCGATGGCCAGCCGGATATCACATCTACGCCAGAGACGGCGTAAACTGGCAAATGCGAAACTAGCCCTCTGTATCCGTGCAGAGATTTCGTCAGCGATCAACCCGTTGGCATTGGCTGATGGTACTTCCTAAATAAGTGAAGCAGTCAACGTGCTCTACCACTTCACTTACTATTTTTAAACTAGGAGTCAGTGTAGTTTAGTTCAGTCCTGTAACATCATCTTACATTTGACGGGAGCGAATCGCATGCCAAATATTCGTAGATTGCAACTCAAGGTGTTCAGAAGACTCCGCATTTTGTCAGCGTCCTCGCCTAGAAGGACTATATCATCTGCATGCTCGAAGTCAACGAGATTATTCCCTGGTAGCAAGTCAGTCCCTGAGTCTCTGAAGTGAGTTAGGTTTAAGTTTATTAGTACGTCTATGATGAAATTGAATAGAAATGGGGACAATGGGCATCCCTGACGGACACCACTAGTCGTCACCAGTTCAAATGACAACTGACCGTAAGCTTTCACCTGGCTGCATGAGTTCTAGTAGAGTTCCTTGATCAGTGCGATGTATTTTCTCGGCATTCCCTTTACAGCCAAGCATTGCCTGATTACCTTTCGGTCGACAGAATCGAATTCCGCCTTTAGGTCAAGAAATATAGTGATTGCTGGACGCCGGTAGGAATCCCTATGTTCTAGAATCTGTCGGAGGGTGAAGATATGATCAATACACCCTCTTCCTGGTCTAAAGCCTACCTGGCTCTCTCGTGTTTGTGCCTCCCTAGCACCACTTAGTCTACGGGTGATTATTGAGCCTAGGACTTTAGATACTATATTAGTCAAACTAATCCCTCTGTGATTATCACAGGAAGACTTGTCTCTCTTCTTGTATACGGGGATAATTAGTGACTTACACCAACCCGACGGGAATTCTTATGATTGCCAAACGCTGACTAGTACCTCAGTTTATGCAGACAGTAAACTGTCTCAACCGTACTTATATACTTCTGGCTCCAGTAAAAAGAGGAAAGGTTAGACGTGAGGCCAGCAACCTCATCTCATAAAAACACTGCCACCGTTAGGTCACTACGTCAAGCCCGAAGTCTTATGTCGCACTTGGGAAGCAATGAATTAAAAAAAGCCTATGACAGAATGCCAAATAAGTACCCGAGGCTGTAAGGAAAAATGTCTATAGTTTGAAATTCTTATTACTAATTAAACTCCAACAACGCTTTACATATGACACATTATTTAAACTGCATAAACTACCTCCTTTTGCAACGCTTTGTCAAGGTCACTTAAAAACAGACGTGTTTTGAAGATAAATAGACAAATGTATGACATGACACTTTTAACCTCTTCGTGAAGATTATATCTCAATGACATAAAAATACTTTCATCATCACACGCCACAATGCATCGATTAATTAAATTTCTCAAAAAACCTGTGTGAAAGTAAAACTTGTCATGAGTCAAATTCACTCTATTTGAACTGTGTAATTTGTAAATTGATAATTTATATCCATGTATTACCAGTGAGCCTACATAGCTAGCATAGCCAGACAAAATACAGAATCCGACTATGTAGGCTAAGCTATGTAAGCTGAATGAGATCAGTTAAAAACACCGCTTATATGGCCTCGATGTGAAATGAGTAAAATGAGTTGCAATCTACGAATGTTTGGCATGCGATTCGCTCCCGTCAAATGTAAGATGATGTTACAGGACTGAACTAGACTACACTGACTCCTAGTTTAAAAATAGTAAGTGAAGTGGTAGAGCACGTTGACTGCTTCACTTATTTAGGAAGTACCATCAGCCAATGCCAACGGGTTGATCGCTGACGAAATCTCTGCACGGATACAGAGGGCTAGTTTCGCATTTGCCAGTTTACGCCGTCTCTGGCGTAGATGTGATATCCGGCTGGCCATCGACCAAAGGGCGGGTGTACTGCTCATCAGTCCGCTCTGTCCTCCTTTATGGCTGGCTGTGATACCGGGCCATTGAGAGTGGAAGACATGAAAAACCTGGCTAGCTGTCTTTGATCATAGATGTATGCGTTCTATCTCCCGTGTGAAGTGGTATAATAAGGTGAGTAATATTGAGGTTAGGTATAGGTCGGGTACTAGTTAAGGAGGGGAAATCCATCGACGAGGCTGTGAAATTGCATCGACTGAGATGGTTAGGACATGTGATACGTATGCCTAGTCATCGATCTCCTTCCTCGACTGACGGGCAATGTTAGCTGACATAGGGTCAGGCTGGAAAAGAGCTAGTGGTGGTCAAACCAAAACATGGCCTCACCAGTCAATGAAACCCACAACAGTTAGTTTAAGCCATGTAGGAAGGTGTAGACTTCCTGACTGGTCGGGGTCCTCGGGACGGTAAAAACCAATGGTTGGAAACAATTTGTGATATGGCTCAAAATCGTTCTCAATGGCTGGTGCAGATGCAAACACTCCTTATGACTTATGATTTCCAATGAAACTATATTCTTCTTCGTTTCTTCTATTCCTTTGTCTCACACCTCTGTTTACCGTCTCTATTATGCATTTCTTGTACTTTCTTCTCTTGCTTTGTGTGCTACAAGGAGGGAGTGTGGCGACTTGAACTGGTGCACATCGGTGCAAAGTTCTATGTCTGTCTGTTTTCGACATAGAAATTCTATGTCGAAAACAGAGACAGAGAGTCTTAAGATCACTTCGATTTGGCTAACAGGTACTACTCGTTGTTGTGAATGCTATCGAACTACTAATTTTTTTGAAATCAGTAGACTATAAAATCATGAGTTTTCGGTACCACCGGCCTTATTTAATGTAAAAATAAAGTACTCCTTGTTATCAGTGGAGAAGGGTACCTTGCTAAACATTATTGCAAGCATTGTTAATTCCAAAAATATTACTCATAGCATACATTATAAATTTATGAATTCTTCAACTTCTTTTTAGTTACTTGCTCGTAGATATTTTTGTCTGATATTAATTAGTTTATTTTCAAAAAAAGGTATTCTTTAAAGAATATATGTTAGCAGAATGAGTGGAGAAATAACTGATGGTTGTATTTTATTCCACTTGTTTTTAATAATGGAATCCTATTATCGACTACTGCTAAAAGCCTTGTGGATAAAGGGGTGCTTTCTTAGAAAAGCTGTAGCTTATGATACTTAACACATCATAGCGACTAGTGGGAGACATTTCAAAATCATGAGTATTCAGATAACATTATCAACATTCAAATAACATGAACTTCTTCGAACTGCAGAAGCAATGGCGATTCACTTGCTAAGTCCTGAACTCTGCATACAGCAGAAGTCCGTTCAATCATTACACTTGCAACGGACGTTATCTATCATATTACCCGACAAGTAAATTCCACCTAATCTTTTTAGCTTCTGTCTCTTCATTCGTATTATTTTGTCTTCTCAATTGTAATATTTTACATTTTCAACCTTCTTATTCTCTACCCCACCCGATTTTATTCCTACACCTCACTACCACTGTTACTGACTTGACCAAAGCTCAGTTTCTAGTCTTTCATGTTACATCCTACAACTTATTTGCTCAATTTCAGTTCTGATTTAAATGGCATTATTTTCTACCCCAGTTCTACTTAGTGTCTACCTGTAATTACCTCTGTTGCTACCCTGACCTAAGCTGAAACATTTTAGTCAAATATATTACGTCATCTAACTTATTAACTCAATTTTACTTTAGTTGCTGTCTAATTAACCTTGTTTTTATATTAGATCATTCTTGTATTGCCCGATCAAGGACCTAAACTTGACAAACCTCATGTACGCACACACACACAAATAATTATACATAAATGCGACTGTACAGTTATGTGAATGAATTCACCGAAAAGAGTCTCTTCGCTGAACGTCTTCTCTTTTTCACATGAATAAATGGGGATTTTTAAGCAATCCAGATAATAAGTACGACTCGTTGACAAGTACATGGGTACACTACAATGAACAAGGCTCTACGACTTTTATCAGTAGTGTAGATAAGTTGTGATATAAATGAGTAATTCCATATTTGATAACTGTCCATAAATATGTCTGCTACTGTTAGGGATATTGATGATCCCACTAGCACTCCATTCGTTTAATTTTATATTTTATTTTGAAATTTCAATACAGTGTAGGGTATCCATAACTGAACATATAATATTATTTGATCAACTGAGAGCTTAGTTCTGCTTTGGAGTTCAGGATCAATATTCAGCTCATTCCTAACTGCCTGCAGAGCTGTACTAATCAGAATATCAGTGTACACAAACTGATTATATCAAAACTAATCATTGCCTCATCTTTTCCTAAGTGAATTTCCTTTAACTTCTGAATCATTACTTAGGAATTAGTAGTCTAGAAGTACATTCCACTACAGTACTGAAGTTCTACACTTATATTATAAATGAGTAAACTGACTAATACAATATGATCATCTGGCTATCAAATACTCTACTGGTTCAGGTGAATTGTTCCCAACTGCTCCCATATCTGTCAGTAATCCTTATAGTATAATGAGGTTGTAATCTACAGTTTTAATTAATCACTCCCCACTTATTTTCAAAGAGATTTAGGAAGTCTCGTAAATCATATCTATAATTTGTAAATTAATTTGTGATTTACACAACTCGATCAGGTGAAATGTCATCACGGTTGTTATTTGGAAAACAAGTTATTCAGATCACAGTATATGAATTGCTTGATATCATAAGTAGGTAGTCAAGAAAAAAAGCGCAAATGCATACAAGTACATATCACTGATTGATTGAGATGAGTAGGTGTACACCAGTCCAGTCATATCAACTAGTAGTGTCCGTTAGCTAGATCCAGGTGATTAAAATACCGGACTGCCGTTTCTTTAGTTTTGGGACCGAGTTCATCAACGGTGTACCTACCAAGATCACTTCGATCTGGCTAGCAAGCACCACTGGTTGATATGAGTGGTGGCATACAACTAATCATCTCAATCAATCAGTAGTTATAGTTTTATACAAATTAGGAAGTCTATCATTATTATTATTATTATTATTATTATGACAAATAGACCGATTTAATTTAAGGGAAATCACTAAAAAACACACCATAAGATGAATTCTCATGGGTGATATAAAAGTGATTTGTTTGTCGAGTTTGACCAGGGATTGATATCAGTCAGACAACCATTGAAAACCAGGGAGTACTGCACGGCTGTTTCATCCTATTTGAGGGATCATCGGCAGTACTCATCCACCACCAGGGTTTGAACCCAGGACCTTCCGGTTACAAAGCAAGCTGGCTCGTATACCATTCAGCCACTGGGACCCGATTCAATAACCCACGAATTCTAGCTTCTACCAATTCGTGATTGTAGTGCGACCACCAGAAAATGTCATCGACAGGAACTCCATCCTCACATCGCAACTGGATTCACCTCACTGGTCACGACTTCTCAGTAGAACTCCGGGAAACTCTGTCCTCTAGCAAGTCAATAACGAGCATCAGATTAATTTTTCAAGAGTTGATTTGTACGGATTTGATTTGCTTTTAGAGTTAAAACCCCAATGGGTGCGTACTGCCGATAATTCCCAAACTAGGATGAAACAAGTGTCCCTGGTTTCCAATGGTTCTTTAACTGATGTCGATCCGTGGTCAAATTCTAAAACAAATCAACTCTTGAAAAATAAAGGTGATTTATTTAGTATACTTCAAATAATAAATGCAAACTCTCCATATTGATTTAGATTCAGTAAAATGAGAAACATTAACCAACATGCTTACCTTAAATCAAGTTTTCCCAATGATAAATTTGATAAGTTTGATACAAGACTCTGTTGACGATCAATCTAAACAAAATCAATAGGTTAAAATGACAATTTAGCATAACCTATAATTATATCACGATTATTATGTGAAAGAAACAAGTTGTGATAGAAATCTTAACACACTACTTGAACAATTATCGTAATCATACAAAAAATAACATTGTAAAGTGAAATACGTGTGATTTGTAAGCGCTTAGGTGATACAGGGAGTCAAGGTCTGGGGCCATAGTGATATGGCTTAAATTCACTTCTTATCTTACCTTCCATAAATTAATTATGCTTTCAACACTTTCCTTTAATCTCTTCATTCATTTCTTTACCGCATCACCATTATTACATAATTACATATACAAAACTAGCATTAAAAGAGAAGTAAACTCATTTTTGTACCTTTAAAATATAAATGCAATCCATTCAGTGTGGAGTTTAGCTCGTAGACCTAGAATAATCTGTTAAAATGATTTGCCTTATTATTATTATTCCCTTGGATTCCTAGTGGAACATAGGGCTTCAACTGCATGTCTCCACTTCCTTCTGCTGTACTTTTCACCTGCATCCATGCATGTTAGTCCATACTGTTTCAACTCCTCTTCACACGATCTCCTCCACGTCACCCTTGCACTGACAACCCACTCGCCGCTTCCCTTTCGGCCTGGTTCCACTCGAGCAATGACCTGACACGCGCGCCATGTCACTCAGCGGCCTCCTCAGCGAGTGTCCATCCAATCCATCTCCACTTTCTCCTGCATATTTGTTGGTTGGTGGTTGGTTCTTGTTTTGTTTGTTCCCAGCCATAATTTCATGTTCGTGATTCTTTCCGGCCCGGCCATCTGATCTTCAGTATAGAGCGAAGACAGTTGTTGGTTGATGAAGGTTTGCAACAGGCTGTTGGAAATATTCTTTGTGACCCACCCGCCAAGTTTCTGATCCGTATAGAAGAATTAACTGACTTGACGTGTTTGTATTGCAAATCCGACTGAATTTTGTTGTTGATGGTGAGTGACGAAGATTTCCAGATTGGTTTCAGGTTGATGAATGTGTTTCTCGCTCGCCTTCCCGATTGTCGCTCGATTTGACATCCTCGTCCGTTCCGACTTCTTGTAATTGAGACAATGCTCCCTAGATAAGTGAATGAAGTAATCGCTTTTAAATCCCTTCTGTTGGTGGTGATTGGCGCTGGATGTTGCTGTTGGTTGATTATTTTCATTTTGCCTTAGTGACGAACTTTAGATTCTCCGTGAATTCTTCAGCAAAAATGGATGTCCACAGTTATTTCTAGATAAAATTATGAAATTGCTCCGTTAGGGAAAACAGTGTATCGACAGCTCCAAGAAATCTAATCGCCTAAAAATGTAGTTTTACGGTTGTAACATAACGCTTAGACGATGACTCAAAAAGCATTTATCGCACAGGAATTATGCTATCATTTCATAACTCAATCAAAATTACATTCAAGAAATAAGAACGAAGTACTCTATTTAGCCTCCTCCTACAGAGCCTGTTAGATTGGATGTACAACTAGGCATGTTCATTGTTGAGTCACCAAATATCCTCTTGGATAGTCAGACAACAGGTAAGCAAAGTTGATTCGTAGCTTTGTTCTAGTATATCTTGACGATAATAGCAATAGAGTTGATCTGCTAGCAAAGTGCTGAGAATTATTCACTACATTCCTACAAATCGTAATTCTCCTTTGAGACTTAATTATTCCCGTGTAGCAGAAAACATCAGAACCCAACCAAACATGTGCATTTGACGTAAATTTATATCGCCACTTATCTTGCCTTAGCCATGGTCACATAAATACAAATTACTAGTCATCTCTTCTCCTCCGATAGCGATAACACGCTATTATTAATATAAACATCATATTAAATTGATCATTCAATTATTCTTCTTCTAAACCTTATTCATACAAACTACGTTTTACGTAACGTGACAACCTGTTTTAATTTTAATGATTTTACGGTCGAAATATGCCTACCATTCAATTTTCACTCTAATTTTCTTGCTTGATTACCTCAGCCTTCTAAATATTGTTGATTGTTAACATCATTATCACTATTATATTAGTAATTTGTATATCTCATTAAAAATGCTGACTGAAAGGCAAGTATTTCTACAGTCAGCTTGTAGCTCCTCTCTTTTCTTATACACTTTTGACTTCTTTTTCAGTCAGCCGAAGTAGAGTGTGTAGCATTCAGAATTGATGCGTGACGATGTCCAAGTATCGATGAGGATAAGGGCTGTCATAGAGTATTTTCGTGCATAGTATGGCAAAAATGCCACAACAAATTATAAACAGCTGTGTAAAACACCCAAGTGTAATATCTGATATGATTACAGCATTCCTCTAAACACAATACGAAATCACACAAGACCAACTACTACTACCTGAGGAAACTCAATTCGTAGTTGTTCGTCTCCTGCTCATATCTATTCAAGTATACTGAAACAAAAGCTATTCTGTCTCATTTTGTGGAAACAGAACACAAGATTGACGTTAACCATGCTTTCAGCGTCATTTACCGCATACCTACGAATCTCAAATTTGCCTTAAGAGTTCGAATACTAAATACTGCTGAGGCTGTGGGGATCCATATTAACAAGCCTAATTTATGCATCCAGAAGAAGCTAATTCAGACATTATCATTACCTTGGCCATCTAGGTTTGAATGATCCTGAAGTTTTGTGGAATTTTCCTAATTTTAGTTGATATTCTATTCGCTATTATATCCTTATTACTATTATTATAATCTAAGCATCTTTAGTGAACTGTATTTCCACTGTGATCATACTTTACAAATCGATATTATTTAAAAAACACTAATATTGTTATTGACGACTATTCTAGAATATTCTATGTATATAAATATACATATAATTGTAGACCTGGAAGAGGAATTTATCGAAAAGAATATTCCTTGCTCGATTATTTTGTGTTTTATAGATGCCTGAATGAAGAGTTTTGCTATAGTGAAACAAATGTGTGTTAAGTTTGCTTTCTTATAACTTATATAATCACTCAATCATAAGATTTATTAATTTTGCCCACTCTAACAATTGTTATTCACCATGTAATCTGATGTAATTTGGTTATTTTACTGAACGTTTCATTTATTTTCCCGAAATGACATAATGAATAGGTCTAATCAAACTAAATTTTGGTGGTCAATTAGGTGGTCAAAATGAAATACAAGAGCAGAAGTGCAAATGAGTCAATACGGACTATTTCGTTTGTCTTTTCAGATTCAATTCGCCTTTCCATTTGGTTGATTATGTCAAACTGAAATGCTCAGTGTCTGTTGACATTTCGTCTCCTAGCTAGCTATTACGAACGCTCTGATGATGTCTGAGAATTACAGCCAAGTTATTTTGGCTCGTAGCGACACTAGCGGTGGAATCCAAGAAGAGTATTCACCAATCTGCGCAAGTTTTGAGTCTTAGGGGGGACGTCACCACTCACTGGGGGTGCAGGTACATCCAGGGCGAGGTGCACATCTTAGATTCTCCTGCTAGTCACCACCAAATAAAATGGACCATTTTAGTCTGAAGATGGGCATTATACTTCGGCAAGCATAACTGTGTACTACTGTGGTGAGAGCAGGCTGCTAGTCGATTGGTTGACACTATGCTACGTTAAGGTCTAGGTCACTAATATGGGCCGTGAGAAAATATGAACAAGGCTGAGTCAACAACCAATCACAGCAAAGTTAACGTGGCAAAATATGATTCGCAGATAGAGAACTCTATTGTCAAGGAATCCCGAAACAACCAATCAGAAGCCTGCGTTTGTCTACCTAACTTCTGATAAACAACCAATCAGATGACTGAGCTTGTCTATAATAATGTAGTTGAAATATGTATAAATACGTGTTGATTTTCATAATAAAACGATCTGTTGCCTGGCCCTTGTCTTCTGTTGTTACACTACTACTACTACTACACGTAATCGCAACCTAATGTGCTTCATAAACAAAGTTTCAGCTACCAGCAGTTTTGATACTTCAGAGATAAAAACCATTAAATCTGTATGTGTGAACGGTAGAAGAATGTAGTGAATATTTTCACGAAAGAAAAAGTGTTCAAATTAATCAAATTTATTCTAAAATGCCTCCTACACTTCACCTTTCCATACGCTGAAATGTGCTATTTTCACACACTTTTAAGCCATTTAAAACAGTTCTTTAACTTGCTAATGGTAAGTGTAATTTATCTGTGTTTTTATTTTCCTCCAAGGCTGGAAACCATTTAGATATATGTACGAAGAAGTTTTAGACATTAATTTTATCTTCATTTGAGATGATAAAACTTCTCAAATTGAAATACATCTGCTTTTTCTTCTATTCGCCACATCTCAATGCCCAGAGTGTTGGGATCATCAACGCAGAAAAATCAGAAGTACACGAGTTGGCTAGCCTACATCATTGTAGTACACAACTACTTGCGTTAAAACAAACTGGGGAGAACATAAGATTGCCTAGGGATGGAGTTCTTCAAACAGGTGTTTGATATTTCCGATCACCTGACATCAACAAAGTGTCAAATTACCCACTGAATTCTAACTTCACAAGCTAATAACAAAAATTTATTCCCGTGAAATGACAAAAAAACTATATTTACAAGAAATCTATTAAAAGGAGCATTGTGATGAAAGTCAAAGAGTACCAGGCACCTGATTTGTCCTAGTTCTGAGGCACTAGATCAGTGGGTGCCCACTGTGCGTCAGTGGCACAGTGGTTAGGACTCTCGCCGACCATGCACATGGTCCGGGGTTCGAGCCCACGCCGATGCACACCTGATATCTATGGTCGGCCTGCGAAATTTGGGCTACCGATATCCATTCTGAAAATTTCATACTTGTACCAAAAATACAATGTGGAATCAAGCTGTAATCAAAAATAAAATAAAATAAAAACTTAAAATTAATCCAATTTCTACACACTGACACTTAAAAATTATGATGAAAATCAAGACTGAAGTGTACTTACCTGTGTAATACTTTGTCTAAGATTGGTGAGTGATGTTTCGGAAGACTGTGAAGGGAGCATCTTTGGAGTGTACTGTACACGACCTATAAACGCTGGTGGTTTAGGCAGTGGTGGTGGTAGTGGCGGCGGTGGACGTTGTACACCGGGATTTGTCCCATTCTGCACTACACCACGTCCATTTTGAATACTTTTAAAAGATAATGCAGGATTTTTACTCTGAGAAGCTAACAAATCAGCCAAATTGACAGTGGGCAATTTATCTTCACTTTTAATTTCACGTATATTCAAATCTGGATATTTCAGTTTAGATGCTTGAAAATAAATTAAAAGATAAATGATACAAAATAAAGTTAGTTTTATGACATGACATGACTGTTCATAATGTCAAGCTACACAAAACAATGACTGACTATCAATGAAAAGCCTAGTAAAGAACTGCAACCGTTTAAGTTGTCAGACTCAGTGTAGTACACAAAGGTAGAGAAAAAGAAGTATCTATAATGGGCAGAAATGTACGGCAGGAACAATGGCAACATGGGGGAACATGGTGATTTAATGGATTTCAGAGATTACAGAGAGTGAATGCATCTGTGCCATTGAGAACGATTTTGAGGTTAGGTGGAACTAAAAACCTATTGCCCTACAAATATGCCAAAGGAAATCCAGATGGATTGGACACACACTGAGGAGACCGTTGAGTGATACATCACGCGCCCAGCCCTTGAGCGGAACCCGAACAATAAACGACGAGTTTGACAAGTTCGAGAGTGACATGGAAGGGATATTGGAAGTCAAAACCAAACAAGATTACTTGGTTACACTGGAACATTGAGTCCACCTGCGGTCAACCTTAATCAGCTTGTAATAAAGGACGTTTCACACACCAGTCAAGGGTACTCTATCAGCACTGTTAAGCTATATTAGAAGTAACTCCACAACTTTGATATATACCTTTCTTTTTATACTAAAAACATAAGTGTGTTTTTATACAAGTTAGTATTAGCAGTCAAGATTTGATTCCAGTCTTTACTTCTGAAAATACCATCACACGAGACATGTCAGTTATTATGATAAATGTAAAAAGGGCGTAGAATTGAGGTACACACACACACAGAGTCGTCAAAATTGCTACACTTTACATCCCCAATACAACAACTAAGAGATAATAAAATGTAAGACAAAGACATGAAAATAATATAACCCAAAGTCCAACAATGAATTTATGATGAACGAAGAAGATAGGAAAGTATAAGATTATAATAAAAATGAATGCATAAGCACTACTGCCACCAAAAAGAATGCGAAAAAAACACTGTCACCTATAGTCCATAATCACACGGCCAATAATTATGTAAACAAAAACTCGAATTAAACAACATGTGCACTAAAGAATGTGGCATATGAACTAGCAGAAAAGTAGTTGACGAATAAAAATAATCACACGATCACTTTCACGGGGTAAATTCCTCAATAGAACAACCCCTAACTTCCGTATTTCCTATGAAATATTTTCATTGCAATATGAAAGAAGTTACGACACTGGACAAATTCTTGAAGTATTCACACATCCAGCTATTGTAGAACTAAGAATGTGTTAATAGCGATTTCCAGTACAGTGCATCGGTGGCATAGCGATTAGGACGCTCGCCGACCATTCACATGGTCCGGGGTTCGACCCCCCGACCGAGACACTCCTTTATCTCACTCAACCAGAAGTAAAGCTGGTGAAGAAAGGTTGGGCATGAGGTGAACAACCCCATCCTGTAAAATAAACGCTGCTACAGAAACTTCAAACCAGTAGCTTGAAGCCCTATTTTCCACTGGGAATGTGAAGGGAAAAAATCACTCTGAGCGCTAAGTAAATTTAGATTGTGAATACAAATGAACATAAACTGTTGACAATAAAAGAGGTAGAGTCATTACTTAGCAGTAGGTAGTTAGTTACCTTGAAGTTGAGAGCTACCACGTTTGGCGTCCGTTTGATTTGACGACGTTGTGACTGCTTGAATAAGAAGTGGTGGGTAGCGCAAGGCAAAGTCTTTCATTCCTTTAACAAGCATTTTCGGCTCTACAGTTATAGTTTTCGCTGCATCCCACTTGAAATACGAATGTGTTAAACGAAAATAAAAATTGTAAGATGAAAGATGAATATGTGATACTTGTAATCGAATATCTCTGTTTAACTACTCTGGATAATTTTATGGTGAAGAGCACTCATCAAATTACGTGAAACCCTCGATCATAGAGCTGGTATTCTACGAAATTTACTGACTATAATAACAAGGGACAGCATTTGATTCAATACATGAAAATAAAACTCAAGTAATTCGATTAGAAATCCTCTTTAAATATAAAAATAGTACGCAAATTTATCGAAATCTTACAGGTAAATGACTGGTCACACAAAGAAATTATATGCAAATATACAGGCCAGTCTGTGTAAAGAAACTACAAAATGTATGAATAGTGCAGTTCTGTCGCATTGAATGGATAATTGATAGCAAATAAAGTTATACCAAACTCTTTCTGACTCCTTGGGACATATCATTTTCCTTTTAGTCCGACAGGACGGAGTTGTAGCATATTGGTTTACGTACTTTCAAACCTCCCTCTATCCATCGAGCCTTGTACAGCGAGATAGTTCCATAGAAACTTACATAACAAGTCTAACTTATCATCAAGTGAACATAAACATAGGGTGGGGTTGTTTAAAAACATTTCAGATATTTCACCAAAAGGGTACTACTGTCTTCAAAATGTAACAGAAAGTGAAGGCGTCAATACACATGAAAACCTAATCCATGTATTCCATGCATAATTACCGAGCTTAACACGAATTTTATCCCTTCCCAATATACTATTTAATCAGCTGACAATAGCATCTGTCACCTTTATAATCAATACATAAAGTATGTCAATATTTTCTATACCGATATTAAATCGTTTATGGATGTATGCAACCAATATGATGTAACGAAATATTATCATGTCATTTTATATTCATCAATGTTTTCTTGATCTTTTCAAGTTTATCAAGTAAAACAATGTCTGATGATACATATCAGCTCGCTTGCGTTTACCCAGGTCCAGAATAAAATCACCATCCTTATTACGAACATACCTACCACATATTCCACACTTTTAGAAACCATCCCAGTATTTTCCATGGTTTATCTCTTAACTGGTACACAAAATTCACCCTCATATATAGAGTTTGTGGAGATGATCAGAATATTTTAGTGGTAAGTTTCCTTACGACCCGACTTCAATCAGAGGAACTTTCCTCTCCATGATCAAGTTAAACCTAGATCTGATCCGTCACATCCAAAAAAAAATCTATTCTTCTTCTTCCATATTACTACTCTTTTTCATCTCTTTCCCTTTCGCCTGAACCTCTCCTGACTCTCCTCTCTTGCTTTGTGTGCTATGCAGAAAGTGTAACTGATAGGATCCCACATATTTTGGTATTGACTGTTTAATCTGGCATATATGGTATGTTATCATTCTCACACATTTTGGTATTGACTGCTAATCTTGTATATATGGTATATTATCATTCCCACACATTTTGTTATTGACTGTCAATCTCGCACATATGGTATATTATCATCTCTCACGCACTTTGTTATTGGCTATTAAGATAAATTATTTCAAATGCTGTTAGCTGTCCATATTGTTGTAAAATGTATAAATACCATGGCTTTCTTTGTCGTTGTTGCACTTCAATACACAGTCACAGTCCAGCCTTTGTCTTTTGATATTTGCGTGCTTTACTAAATCGGAAGGTACGACAAGCAGATAGGCAGATTAGTTCAGGCGCAGACAGAGCAAGGTGAAAACGTCTTCATTCAATTCCCTACAGTTATAACAAATTGGCGACGGGGTTTTACCTTAATTCATTGCAGTTATAACAAGCAAACGACGACAGTTTTTATTCTGTTCAGCGCAGCTATATAACATTTTTGACTGTGTTAATTACAACCCAATTACAATGTCTATCTCTCTGGACGATCTCAAATCTATCTTGCAGCAGCAGCAAGTTCAGAATGAAGCAGCTCAACTAAAATTAATCGAAGCTCTCACTCAGAAGCTGTCCATTCAAGTTCCATCAACATCTCATTCTGACAAATATGAAAGCATCTCAAATTCCATCAGTGAGTTCAACTACGACCCAATATCTGGTCTCGTATTTGATGCATGGTTCAATCGTTACGAAGACGTTTTCCGTATTGAATGCTACATGTTTGATGATGCTGCCAAAGTCCGATTGTTACTAAGAAAACTTGGTACTGTTGAGCACAACAGATATGTTAACTTCATTCTGCCCAAGAACCCACGTGAGTTATCATTCGATGAGACAGTCACCGTTTTATCACAAATCTTTGGTGAACAGTCATCCATGTTTAATATTCGGTATCAATGTTTTCAGTTGACAAAAATGCCTTCCGATGATTATGTCACTTACGCTGGCAAAGTGAACAAGGAATGTGAAAGGTTCAAACCACACGAAATGACATCAGATCAGTTCAAGTGTTTGATTTTTATTTGTGGGTTGAAGAACCCAGAAGATACTGACATACGAACTCGACTTCTGTCACTTGTGGAACAAGACCCGAAAATGACTTTACAAATGGTGACAGCAGAATGCCTACGTTTAATCAACTTGAAGCACGATACTGCTATGGTGGAGTGCAAACGACAGTCGTCTGAATTTGGTTCGATTAACACAGTGAAAAGTCCTCCGATCACCGTTAAGCACACAGAACGTCAGTCTCAAAATTCAGCTAAACCTCCTTCAGTGTGCTGGCACTGTGGTTCGTGGCATTTTGTCAAGTTCTGTCCTTTCAAGAAACATAAATGCCGTAATTGTCACCGTTTTGGACATAAGGAGGGTTACTGTACACCGCAGAAAAATTCTTCGGTGAGGAACAGAAGTAGTCGTTTCAAGCCGAAACAATCTCCTCGAGTACAGACCGTTTTCACAACTTCCAAAGTCGAGTTCGCCAGCAAACGTAAGTACATAACACTAGATATTAACGGCAAACGTATTCGTCTTCAGTTGGATACGGCATCAGATATCACCGTAATTTCCCGAACTACGTGGCGCAAACTTGGTTGCCCACAGATTCTGCCGACCGAGCATGTCGCCAAGAATGTCTCTGGAGATATACTGAAACTCGTGGGTGAGATAAATTGCCAGGTTCAGTTTGGTGAGCATCACTTCAATGGTGTATGTTACGTTACAAACTACCATGATTTGAATTTGCTTGGTCTTGACTGGTTAGACAAGCTCCATATCTTTAATGTACCATTAAATTCAGTATGCTCTAATGTTTCGTCTTCACCACACAACGTTGTTCCCGGAGATGTATCTGATCAATCTCTCTTGCAACGCCGTCGTCAAAAGCACGCTTCTGTCTTCCAGGACAAACTTGGTTGCTGCAAACTGTTTGGCATCCAGCATATTCGTAGCCCCCCGTATCATCCCCAATCGAATGGACAGACTGAACGTTTCGTCGACACCTTTAAGCGTGCTTATGCAAAAGCGAAGGGGGAGGGAACAACAGAAGAAATTTTGGATAAATTCTTGCTGCATTATCGTACGAATGAAAAAGGACAGTTATGTGTCAGACACACAGATCACGCTCTATCCAGTACCACGCAAAGGTCAACTCGACAAAGAAGAGCTCCGAAACCTTTTCAAATAGATCCAAAAAGCAAGTCCTACACTCTTTACGGGGAGAGGTGATAGGATCCCACATATTTTGGTATTGACTGTTTAATCTTGCATATATGGTATGTTATCATTCTCACACATTTTGGTATTGACTGCTAATCTTGTATATATGGTATATTATCATTCCCACACATTTTGTTATTGACTGTCAATCTCGCACATATGGTATATTATCATCTCTCACGCACTTTGTTATTGGCTATTAAGATAAATTATTTCAAATGCTGTTAGCTGTCCATATTGTTGTAAAATGTATAAATACCATGGCTTTCTTTGTCGTTGTTGCACTTCAATACACAGTCACAGTCCAGCCTTTGTCTTTTGATATTTGCGTGCTTTACTAAATCGGAAGGTACGACAAGCAGATAGGCAGATTAGTTCAGGCGCAGACAGAGCAAGGTGAAAACGTCTTCCTTGAATTCCCTACAGTTATAACAGTAACAACTCAAACTGATGCACTTCTCTATGCTAAAATCAGTCAGTCAGATGTTTCATACAACTGCAATACGAAATATCAACAACAACACACACACACATACACACACATAGAAAATAAACAAAATACAATAGAAATCTAGATTACCTTAAAAATAGCATCTTTCAGAATTTGTAAACAATTACTCTTGTCTACAGCACACATATCAGAGTCGAAGCCATTCTCATCCAATAGTATTACACCATCGAATTCACCTCGATTCTCCCAAAGCTTTTTAAACGTGCCATTCACTTTTAAGTAATCAGAGATCGTATTTACAGTAGCTCTACAATTTTAAAAGTTAACAAAAAATATTATACAATACCAAAACATAAAATCGGGTAATCATTATCAGTTAACTCAAAGCTTTAACAAAAATAGCAATAACAGACTTCATTTTTCACTTTCATTGTCACTGTCATACACAGATATTGCCTTATCAAATTCTATACGAATAAAAGCAATACATGAGATACAATGCTTTGTTTAAGTGTTTGTGTAGGCGTGTCACTAGTGACTTTGAGGCGAGGAACAGAAACAACACTCGTCAGCTGTTCAACAAGTGTCGCATGACGAAGTATTAACACCTCACATTCACAGTCATTCTATTCATAGGCTAGTATGATTAAACTACCAATGACCTTTATCATCGTTCTGATGTGAAAACAATGAAGAATTAAAGTCGTCAACCTACTAGTCAAAAATGTATTTAATAATACTTATTGCTGAGCTTGTCGCAATCAGCATAAGAGTCAATGAAGGCAGAATAAAGCAGTAATTTGGCGCGCCGTTTAACAATTAGGATTCCTCAACCCCACCCACTCAATAGATCGCGGTTCGACTCTGAGTGTGGGAGCCACTTCTTCCCACCCACAAGTCAGTCGTCAGAGCATTAGACTAGTGAAGCAGAAGTCGAGAGTTTATGAGTCCGTGGTAGAATCCTCGCCAACTGTCCATGTCGTGAGCGAAGATGCACTTTTAAACCTCGTTTAGACGGAGATAATCGCTTTAATGAGGAAGGTTAGCAATACCACCCAGCAAAAACTACACCATCGCTACTGAAACTTTAAAGTTTAAGCTTGAAACCCTAAGTTACACCATGAATACAAAGGAATGAAAATAAAACGAGTGGTAACAAACAATGTGATACTTTATGCCATGGCATTATCATCACGCGAACCAGTAACCTTAGATTGGATGTTTCTCAGCATTACGGTTAGCCACTACAGCGCAGCTATATGTACCACTGGTTATCGCACTTCAACACCAGGATCTTTGCTTCATGTAATTTTAGAGATCAAGGCAGAAATTCAAAACAGTTGATTTAAAATATCCGTAGCAACAACACGTAAGACTGAAGCTAGACCCCTTCTCTGAATAATTATATTCATGATCAACACTTTTGCATTTGCCTAGTTGAATCAATGAACTACCTGATTTTCTGTCTACCACAACCGATGAAATCTTCTCCATTTCATATTGTTTTAACAATTCAATGACATTTTTGTATGATAATCTAAACTTACCCCCAAATTTTAAATAGCTTTCAACCTACTACTATGCATTTTTAGAAAATGTAGAAAAATGTAGTGGGGAGTGAGTCAGAAGAGTGTTTCAGACTGAACAATATTACGTTAAATGACATGCTGTCGATTACTATTTTACTTAGAGATTGTGTAAAATGAATAGGTATTCAGCACTAAAACAGACTGAGAATTCTATAATGTGTATAAGTTGTGTCGTCCAGAATAAAGCCGTGATCATTATTTTGCACTGAGCATGGAATGACAATCAAATCTATACCTCAACTTCATCGACTCTGGAAAAACTTTTGACAGCGTTGACTGTGAATTAATCTAGAAACTGCTTGAACACTACGGACTACACCAAACCTTTATCAACCGCGTTCAACAGCTATATGAACACGACATATGTCAAGTGATTCAGAATGGAAAGCTCAGAGAAGTCTTTGGAGTGAAGACAGACAAGGCTGCTTACTAACACCGATGATATTCCTGCTTGTGGTTGGTTGGATCATCGCCTTCCTTGACGGCCAATGTTAGATGACATAGGATCAGTATGGAAAAGAGCTAGTGGTAGTCAAACCAAAACATTGCCTAACCAGTCAATGAAATCCACAACAGTTAGTCTAAGCCAACCACGTAGGAAGGTGTAGACTTCCTGACTGGTTGGGGTCCTCGGGACGGTAAAAACCAATGACTGGAAACAATTGGTGATGTGGCTCAAAATCGTTCTCAATGGCTGGTGCAGATGCATCCACTCCTTGTGACTTGTGATTTCAAATGAAACTTTATTGTTCTTCGTTTCTTCTATTTCTTTGTCTCTCACCTTTATTTACTGTCTCTATTATGCATTTCTTCTACTTTCTTCTCTTTCTTTGTGTGCTACATGGAGTGTGGAGACTTGAACTGGTGCACATCGGTGCAAAGTTCTATGCCGAAAACAGATAGACAGACGGCTGGATCGTGCAGAAGAATATGAGGAGCGAGAGGACAGCAGTACGTAGGGCCGACAACAAGACTATAGAAAATTTGAATCTTACAGGCAACTTATGTCTTACGTCACACAAACTCGAAGGTCTACAAGCGAAAACCGACAAGTTGGCAGTGGAAGCAGAGAAGACAAGACTTCAAGTGAACATAGTGGAGAAATAGGTAATCAAGATACCCAGTCACTACCATCACCACCAACAACAACAGCAGGCACTGACCACTATCAACAAGAGAAATTTGGAGGAAGTCACTTCTTTCACTTATCCAAAACAACAGTGTCTCGACTACAAATGTGACATGGATGAGGAAGTCACAGAAATGAGTCTGGAATTTTCTGCTGCACTCAGTATGAGGAAAAAATTACATTTTCAACACTAATCTCAGGTCAGTGCTTCTATATTGTCTGTTTTCGACATAGAACTTTGCACATATGTGCGGAAGTTCAAGTCGCCACACTCCGTGTAGCACGCGAAGCAAGAGAAGAAAGTACAAGAAAAGCATAACAGAAACAGTGAGCAGAGGTGTGAGACAAAGGAGTAATAAAGAAAAACAAAACAGTTTCATTGGAGATCATAAGTCACAAGGAGTGGATGCATCTGCGCCTGCTACTGTCTGTCTGTCTGGATTCAACATAGAACTTGGCACCGAAGTGCAGCAGTTCGAGTTGCCACGTTCCAAATAGCACACAGAGGTAGACAAGAAGATGAGTGGAGAGAATTAATAGAGTTTGACAAATATAGGAGTGAAACAGAATGGGTAATGGTAGAAAGGAATATGAAAGATTACAGAGATTGAATACATCTGCGCCATTGACAACGATTTTGAGCCATGTCACCTATTGTCTCCAGCCATTGATTCCTAGAGTCCCGAGGGCCCCAACCCGGGAGTCTGCATCTCCCTACCTGACTCAGTTTAACTGTCAAGGATTTCATGGATTGATGCCATGTTTTTGTTTGGCCACCACTGGCTCTTTTCCAACCTGAACCTATATCAGCTAACAATGCCCGTCGGGGGAGGCGGTGGTTAGGCATGCGCACCACGTGACCTAGCCATCTTAGTCTATGTAACTTTATAACCTCGTCGATTGATTTTCCCTCTTTGCCCAACACTCTACGCCTAACGTCAACATTACTTATCTTGTGAAACCACCTAACGTGAGACAGAGATCGCAGACATCTATGATCGAAAGCAGTCAACCTTTTCATGTCTTCAACGCGTATTGGCCATGTTTCAGAGCCATAGAGAAGGACGGAGCGAACTGATGAGCAGTACACACGTCCCTTGGTTGATAGCCGGATGTCACGCCTACGCCAGAGATGGTGTAAGTCAGCGAAAGCAGCTCGAGCTTTTCGGATCCGTGCTGAGATTTCATAGCCAATCAGTCCGTTGGTGCTAATACAACTTCCCAAGTAGGTGAAGTGGTCAACATGTTCTATCACTTCACTCCCTATCACTAAGTTAGGGGTTGACGTCGTCCAGTCCTGTAGCAGCATCTTACATTTTGCAGGGGCGAATCGCATGCCAAACATACGAAGATTGCTGCTCAAGGTGTTCAGAAGACTCTGCATTTTGTCAGCATCCTCCCCTAACAAGACTATGTCATCTGCATATTCTAAGTTCCTAAGACTATTCCCTGGTAACAAGTCGATTCCTAAGTCATTACGTTCAGTTAAGGATACTTCCATTAGCATATCTATGATGAAGTTAAACAGAAATGGGGAAAGTGGACATCCCTGTCGGACACCACTGGTTGTTACTAATTCAGATGACAATTCCCCATAAGCCCTTACACGACTACGTGAGTTTGAATAGAGTGCCTTGATTAGTGCGATGTACTTTCTTGGCACTCCCTTCACAGTCAGACATTGCCATAGTACTTTTCGGTCCACGGAGTCGAAGGCCGCCTTCAAGTCAAGAAATATGACAATTGTTGGACGCCGAAAGGTGTGTCTATGTTCTAGAATCTGTCGAAGAGTGAAGATATGATCTATGCACCCTCTACCTGGTCTAAAGCCTGCTTGATTTTCCCTTGTCTGTTCCTCCCGAGTTCTGCTTAGTCTATGCATGATTACTGAGCCTAGGATTTTAGAGACTATGTTCGTTAGGCTGATCCCCCTATGATTATCACACGAGGACTTGTTTCCCTTCTTGAATATCGGTATAATGAGTGACTTACCCCAGTCTGATGGTACTGTCTCTGATTCCCAGACTTTGCCTAGTACCTCAGTTAATCTACAAACTAGTATGTCACCCCCATATTTAAACACCTCCGGAATAATTCCGTCGGGTCCTGCCGCTTTGCCTCGTTTCAAATTACTGATAGCTTTCATAACCTCACCTACAGACGGCGGACCAGTGTCTATATCCCATTCGGGTACGTGGTGGATGGCGGGGAGGTTCAGTGTGGCTGTAGGCAAGTTAAATTGTTCCTCAAAGTGTTCTTTCCAGCGTTCAAGGCGTCTATCCTGAGAGCTAATTAAGGAGCCATTTTTCTCAGAAATAGTCTCACTTATGAATTGCCTTTTCCCGCCCGATTCTGTGATGAGTCTAAAGAGTTGCCTAGTGTTGCTTCTATATATAGTTCAGACGCTTGGAGCGTCACGGAAAGTATTTTGAACATGCTTCAGACTTAAGTAAACAGCTGTCGTTGCTCTCTACTAAAGACCAGATAGGGAGGAAGAACTAACAACAAAGAACTTTGGAAACGAACCAACCAAGAACCTATCGCCAACAAATACGCAAGAAATAGAGATGGATCAGACATACGTTGACAACACTGTTGATTGACGTCACATAAGTGACATGTAGCGATCGGGGAGTCAGCTTAAAACGACTGCAGAGAAGAGAACAAAATGGGGACGCTGTACTGAAACCCTGTGGGAATAATAATAATAAGAATGAGAATACTGAGCCCACTACCATCTTCAGTCAAGTCGGAGAATTCAGATCAAAGCACTGAATTGGATATTGTCTGTTGTCTAAACAATAGCAACAAAAGCACTACAGCAAAGGAAGTAACCGAATTTCTGCCAACTTTTCAGCAAACTTACCTTCTGAGGTGAAAACAAACTCCTTTCTGGAAGAAATGCTTGAACAAACATGAATATCCGAAAATGATAATGCGGAAGAATCTCATGCGAAACGATATACCTACCAATTCACACACATTGAAACACCATACTCTCAAAAATTTTGACGCTGTCTGTCCCCAATTACTCAAAAACTCAAATTCAATCTCTGCAGTACTCACCTATTCTCTATGAAACAATAAAAGTTCGAGAACTACGTGGCCAGTAGGGTGCAGGAGGTCGGGTGTGAGAACAAATACTCGCTGAAGACATTGGCTAGCGGTTGCACTATATCGTGAATTGGCAGAAGTTAGAATTCATGAGCTGGCCATTGGATCGGGTCCCGGTGGCTTAATGGTTTACGAGCTCGCTAGCCTTGTAACCATAATGTGCTGGGTTCGAACCCCAGTGGGTACGTATTGATGAAGAGTCCCAAAACTAGGACGAAACAGCTATACAATAAGGCCAGGTTTTCCAATGGTTCTCTAACCAATGTCAGCTCACGATGAAATCCTGTAAATACGTTTCTATTGGAGAGAACTAATAATTTCGGCATGACGTTAATTAAGAGTTCAAAGCCTATAAACATCAAGACAGTCTTCCCTTCGTATTCTAAAAAGTATATATAGGTTTAATCATTCATATAATCATGTATTGCCCCTCTTAATCTGAATCCTTACCTTATTAGGTGAATTTAAATTCCACAATATGCCTGAAAACGTCAATAACCTCAATACAGTTTAATTGATCAAACAAAACATTTAGTGTGTGATGCAGTGTGATGATGCGAACCGTTAAAAATCAACTGTTTTAAAGTGGCTGTCTCCATCGTATGTATACAAAATTCAGAAATCGTAATTCCAGATGCATAATGGTACTACTCAGTTGTTCAAACCCAAATGAATCAGAGAGACTCTGAGCATGCAACCCACTCTTAGAAAGTTGAATGTTTAGGTAGACAGCCTATTGACCAACAAATATTTTAACAGCGATTAGATGAGCCTCTTCCTCATTGGTGAGAAACACTTACCAAAACATGAGACATGACACGTCCGTAGAAATTTATCCAACCATTCACTTATAGATGAATGTAAAAGAAAACCTATGCGAATCTAAGTTACTTACCCACGTTGTAAAATATCACAAGGAATGTTGATGATGTTCTCGAATGCTATATGACATTGTTCAAATTCAGATACTGTACGGACATCCATTAGAAGGAAATTTTGTTGCTTCTTAATAATCTCTGCCAAGTCATTTGATTGTATCCATCGGGAGATGATTGTAGGAGGTGGTGGTTTATCTATTTTACCATAATTAACAATAACACATAATGCTCAATAATTGAAGTTACCTGGTTCAGGTTCAGGTGTAGATTCATTAGATTTCTCTGGTTCAGATACAGTTGGACTTTTTAAACTCTTATATCTTGCCTTTAGATTGACATGCAAAGTTTCAGCACGTTCAACAGCACACAATAATTCATCTTTAAGTATTATCTTTAAAGAAATAATCAGTAATTTAGGGCATGTTGAAACTTACACTATCTTTTTTACCTGTTATTTGTCTCAGTTTGTCATAGTACTCAAAGTATTTCATAAACAGTACATAGGCACGCTCTTCATCATGCTCCCAAACTTCATTAGCTTGACATTTTATCAAAGACATTTCACGCTTCAGTACTTCAGGTGCAGATGATCGAATATTTATTTTTGAAAGCTTTCTCAACTCCTCCAAAGAGGTAGCTAGGTATAATTTCTTCTTGTTCATTTCATATATTTATGTCTGATAAAGAATCTCAATAAGGGAATCTTTGAGAGAGAGAAAATACATGAAAGAAGTCGAACCTTGAAGATGTCGATACCATAAAAATAAAAAGTGAAGCAACATTAGGCACATGCATTACATATGTCAATAAAAACTCAAAGTATGGAAGGTATGCTGAAATTATTATTATTATCCCTTCACGTTCCTAGTGGAACATAGGGCTTTAAGCTGGAGGCTTGAAGTTTCTGTAGCAGTGTTTATTTTTACAGGATGGGGTTGTTCGCCTCATGCTCAACCTTTCCTCTTTACCAGCTTATATTTCTATTTTAACGAGGTAAATGAGTGCGTCGACCGGAGACCGAACCCCGAACCATGTGAATGGTCGGCGAGTGTCCTAAACCCTGTGCCATCGACGCATGCTGAAATTATGAAATGAATCAAATGAGAACTCACCAAATAGTTGAGTGATTAGGTAAGTGAGAATTCCATTATGGGGAAAATTTATTTTAATAAAGTCTCACAGTGTTATGCAGCAATATTTACTGATGACGTTTCAAGTATAATTTATTGCCCATATTCATATAAACTTGATTTGATGAAATGCAATTATACTCTACCAAGGCACCCATGTACTATTCTTATAAGTACATGATAATTAATCACATTTTTGTGTAAAGACTGATGATACGTAGTTACTCAAAACATCACAAGTGGAAGAAGGCATGAACTGGCTTCGACCGGGGGTGCAATAAATACATAGTGGTAATCACCGGTAAGTCTACTGTATGCATTATCTATGGTACAGTTAGCAGGATGAAAACATATACTGATAAAGTGCATGAATGAATGTCCATTTCCACATAGTCTAAAGATTTTAGACCATTAAGCTACAGATGATAATTTTGAGTGTTTTGATCAAATAGTCTTGAAAACTGATATAAAATATTGGGATTTTTATACATAGTTTTCTTCATTAGTCTGTGTTCCCAGTGGAAAATAAGGCTCAAAGCTGGAGCTTTAAAGTTTCAAAAGCGGTATCGTTTTTTACGGATGGGAATGATCGCTTCCCGCGCCCAACCCTCCCTTTTTATCAAGCCTACATGAAGGAGACAAATATGTTCGATGTACCTTTCCCGACTGCATATCCGCTTTTAACTCTGTATCCAGATGTATTTTGTTAAATAAACTGGCACACACCGAGTCCTGGGCTGCTAACTGGTCGCATCCTTATTTTTCTAACATAATGAAGTATGCTGTATACAGAGAAAAATCTCTCAACCTTGCTTACTGAAAGTGGAGTTACTCAAGGCGCTGGTCTCTCTCATCTTCACCTTTCTTTTTTCTGACATGAATCGCCTCTTTCGGAAGAAATTAACTTCTTTCTGAATGTCTCGTTAACATTGATGTCCCCATCTGACTGCTCCAAACTTAATAGCTTTTTACTAGACATCAACCAGTGGTCTAAGCTAAATGATCTAAAGTTAAATTTTTCGGAATGTCAGACAGACACCTTCACCTTCCGGCGTAAACGTGATCTATACGAATTTGTCCGTTCACAAGATGCATGTAGCATAGAAAGCACTGAAATAGTAACTAAGTAAAGCACAAAATAACATGAAATAGTTTTATTCTCTGACCTTTCGTGTTTATCCGATGTCTTCTTGCATTAAGACGATTAGAAACAACTCAACTTCTGCTTTTACAATTTGTTAACTCTTGCATCTTACCTATCGTTCCTTATTGCTCTCAACTAGTATTCCCCGGGCTATACAAAAAGGACAATGCCGTATTGCGAAAGGGGTTAAAGTTGTCAGTAGGGCAAGTATACAAAATAAATGGCTCTTTTATTTCCTATCTGTAATTTATGCCGACACTTTCCACTGTCTTATAACGTTAACTACTAACATCATCATTATTTTACAATTTTGTATATTTTTGACTTCATTGTCACTGTTATTAACAAAAAGCTGCAATTACCAACTCTGGTTACGCTATAATGTTGTTTTTTTGTTGTTGAGTAAATTAGATACAGTATTGTACTGAATACTGAGAATTTCACACTACATCATAAGTATTGTTTAGTAATAAAACAAATTATTATCATCATTAAACAAGATGCATTTCAGAATAGCTTACTTGCAACTATTTACATCGACTGGGTTCCATTATGAATTGTTTAAAAGCAGATTATTGACATCAAAGTTCCATTTTTCTGTTGTGTTTTAAATATTCTACAGAAAAAATTGTCAAAAAATTTCTCACTTAATAAGTGTGCGACAGATGGAATATAAAGCATATATGTTCAATCAGTTTACATTAGTATTACACAAAACTTAAAACAAGATTGATTTTCGTCAATTCTTGTTTATCCTTTCTCTTATAATACTCCCATTTCCTCTTACTGAGACAATTGTATCCATGTTCACTTCCTTAGTGTGTGCTATTTCAAAGTAAGATAATTTGAATTGATGTATGTGTGAAAGTCTCAATCTTGATCTGTCAGTCCATTTGATACAGACCATAATCATATCAAGGTGATATGACATGAGCAACAAATTGTGCTCGAAACGTCATCAGTACATACTACTATATAACATTGTGAGACTTTATCAAAATAAATTTTACTCACAACGGAATTAAATCCCGGCATCCTATAGTGGTATGAAGTTTAAAAACCCTATCACATATAAAATGCTCCAGGTGAGCGGCCTCAGGTAGTAGTTTCTAGGCCACTTTCTTCACATAACGACAATCCTTTCTCTCTTGCAGATGTCCCAAGAGTGAACCAACTTCAACGATGTACGTAGTTGGTAATTACCGACCACAACAAGATTTTTGAGCGGACAGTTGTTTCCAATAACTTCGTCAGGTTCTACAATTATAAATCCATGAATAGTAGAATACAAATAGCCAGTAAAGGCAGGTGAAAACTACATCAGAAACTGTACTGGGGGTACATATATAAGATGGAATAATACTCTGTTAGTTAATATCGTCAACCGAATGAAGGGTATCCGTGGGTGATTGCCACTCCCTACATTTAAGCAGACTATCACATGTGTTAGTCCATTCACTGGACAGACACAGAAAACAAGCAGTTATTAAGTCGTTTTATGTGTCCAGCCTTCTAACTGAAACATGTAGAGAAAAGTTGGTTGAAAATTTATCTGAAAAAGATGGCAATACCCGTCCAGCTGCTTTGCATGATATAATCGATTGTACAAATGGAAGTAAAAGTAGACAATAACGTGCAACCACCAAAAGCAAGTGGGTCACCATACCCTCATCCTTACTAAGTGACAATGAGATTGTTCTCAGTGTGTTGTGAACACGACGAGGGCGTGAGGTTACTGAAACATAAGTCAACTAAAAGTCCGCATGACGACTAAGAGAAAGATAATAACCAGCAGAAACTAAGGCAGAAAAATCATTAGCACCAAACAGTGTCCGTAAATCAATTAGACATTTTAGATAGATTAAAATAAACGGTGTCCGGAAAGATAGAATTCCATAACTATTCAGGACAGAAAGATGGAACTCAGGACAGAACCCTACAAAAGGAAGTCTAAACTGTCTACAACTGCACTGCAGTTGTCCACTATCCGGGCCGGGTGAATAAGACTGGTTCTCTATTCCTAAGCAGTTTCAAAGACTGCATTCAATCTAAAATGAGGTGAAGGACCAGGACCTGATGGTGTCTTTATAGATATTTAAACAATGTTTTAGGGAATCGTTAACTTCACTCGATAAACTGCCAACTACCGTATATGCTTCAGACACTGGTTCATCAAACTACAATAGATTGTTAGAAATCCTAGTTTATGAGAAAGATAACAAACTTTCTTGATAACCGCGGAAAGATCACATTGATTAATGCGTCTACACAATGACCAAATAAATCTCGAGAAAAACATCCAGGGAAACAAGACAAATTTCGGACCCGAAATATGCATTTATAAGATTTCCACTATTCAACAGATCATGAAACACACGATCAGTAGCATCCAGTACTTGTTAAATTTCTTAACATTGAAGTTGCATTCGCTTTTATTAACCGAGGTAGTTTGGAAAATTTCAACTGTGAAGGGATTGCCGAAGTACACAACGAAAGCCAAAACACATTTAGTGACTTAGCTTATAATCTTTTATAGTTGCGCATACGTACGTTAGCCAGCAAATTATATTCAGCTTATTGAGTAAGCTATGATATGTATATCATGCACTTTATCAACGGATTGCAAGCAAAATATTTACAAGAATCTCTAGTTGAGGAAAAGTTACATGAAGATATACCACATCATCTGAACAGTAAGCAATTTACCAAAATTACAATCATATAAGATTGAAGTGACTCTAATCTCTGGAACTCAAGTTTCAAGGTCTAGAGAAATATATCAGTCGCATAGACACAGAAACTCAATTCAAGCACTTCTCCCATTAGCAATCGGATATAATAATTGTCCATGAAAAGAGGATGGCTTCAGTTTTGACTGGTTAAATTAGCCAACTAATACCGAACATCACCACTCAAGAAGGTGGAGATTCTGACAAAAGCCTATAGAACACCACTGTACAAAATATATGAGAATGATATTGGGATGTTTGAGCTTGACAAACGCAATGAGATTGTTACAATCAACAAAATCAGTCAAAGGCTTAGAGTATTAACAGTCAGTAACATGAATATGATCTAAAATAACCGCATCATCTGTGTGAAAAAACGTAAATTTATTCAACTACTTAGAAAAGAAGCACGTGAATTGACAGAAAAATTATTATAACCCAAATACATTTTAAGGCAAATCAGTGCAAACATTTCGACTCAATGCATCATTTTCCTCTTAAAACCCTTAAATCTCGCCCAAAAACTTCCCACGAAAACAAAGAACCCTAATTTCGCCGCAGGATCTCCCCCAAAATCACACCAAACATTTTTCAACCACATCACACATTTACAAAACTCAGTTATTTAAAGAGTATGTGTGTGATGCGCCTTCATATTA